CAAAAGTTACCCTTTGACCTTCCCAGGCCTTCTCTGACTATCAGATCCAACAGATGACGGCCAACTTTGTGGATCAGTTTGGCTTCAATGACGAGGAGTTCAGCGAGCATGATGAAAATATCAAGTAAGTAGTAAAAGTGGATTGTTGCCTGCTTCAAAGTTCACTCATCTCTCCTCTGATTTGTAGTGATGTTTGGCCAACTCTATTCTTTTGGTGTGAGAGGTCTCGTTTTGACAGTTAAGAGCTAACTGATGTGCTAGCTCACTTAGCACCACTGAGCTGGCTAACGTTGCAGCTCGGCCGAGGACGATGCCGTTCATATCTACACCCACGAGCCTCTCGTCTATGAGTAGATGGGCGGTGATGCGTTTGGGGGGGGTTTAGTTGGGGAGGAAGAAAATAAGATAGTTGAAAATGCTCACAACAAGGTCTGTGGATTATTTGGGGTAACCGGTCTTCTGGAAGGATGTTTTTTTTTGGTGCTTTTTTTTCAGTTTTAACTAAAGATTAAAGTGCCAGTGAATTGTTCCTTGAAGGATTAGCCGATGTGCGTAAAATCATCTGTACACAACACCGCCATCTCTGAGCTCTCCCAACATTTCATCCATACCCAATGGCTGTATTGTTTTGATACTTCAGTGTAGGTGTGCTATCCTTAGATGTGGAATCTTTCCAGTTATTCCACACTAATCATCTTAACCTACAACGTATTTGAATATGATCTCGTTCTTTTCCTCAGTGCCACGTTTGACAGAATTGCTGAGATAAACTTCAATCTAGATGCTGATGATAATAGTGTAAGTATTATCCTGTTTCTGATATTTTTATTTAGTAATATTAATATTTTGGTTACTGAATTCAAATGTCTGTCTGTGAGCAGGCCAATGCGGCTGCTTTTGAAGCCTGCTGTAAGGAGAGAATACGCCAGTTTGATGATGCTGAAGAGGAAGAGGACATTTGGGAGGAGAAGGAGATGAACTATGCAACACAAGCTAAATCCAGAACACGGTAAAGTTTGTGGTTTTTCTAGCTAACACTGGGCGTTTCTGTCTTCTGTCTGTTAACACCTTCTATCCATTGTCACACCATCAGGTTTGGGGTTTCCCAAACCTCAGAGGAAAGCTCCAGGAGCAACATGGAAAACGGAGGCAGGGAGCGGGACCACGGATCTGGATCTGATGAGGACGAGGACTGTGAGCAGAACACATCAGAAACCGGTCAGTTAGAGGATCGTCTCGTTAAAACCCAGAGTTTGAGAATAGCCTCTCTGACTTAGTTTGAAACAGTCTTTTTATTGCCTGGCCTTGTTTCCAGGTCCAGGCTGGACAGCACATTTCAGGGAATCTGGAGGGACGGCGGCATCCCAAACCCCAGCAGGGTGGGACAGCTCATCCAGGAGCGGGGCAGAGACGCAGGGAAGTGGCTGGGCCAACTTCACGGAGTTCCAGCCTTTCTCCGGGTGAGAAGCAAACATGTTGACCCAAATAGCAGTTCTGCTAGAACGATCCTGAAGAAGAAGAAGAAGAAGAATGGCTCAAAGCGTCACTCTAGGGCGATGCGTTCTAAATGTTAAGAAACATTGACATTCCATTCTATACCTATTCCTAGTTTAGATGCTGACACAAGTTTCTCTGTTCCAGAGTTCTTGGAACTACTTGTACCAATCAGTGGAACTTCTATTGAACAAGGAGCTATTATTTTGTCGTGAGGAAGATCCGTGAAGAATTGAAATGTTGTTAACCTTACTAATACTTTATATACTCAATTTCAAGTATGGAGAGTGTACGCGATAATTCCACTTTATTTGCCCTGTGGTGACATGACTGTCCAAGGATTTTGGCTAAAGTCTTAAGAGAGACAACTTTCTTACTCTACATGTTTTAAATGTGGTGTGGTCACCCACATGTGTCCTCCGCTGCGAGGAAGAACCACACAGCACTGTTTAACAGTTGTATTGATTGACTAACTAATCACAGACCAAACTGGTTTCCCACTTTAACACCTTAACACGGCTCTCTGCGGTTGATTGTCTCCAGTACAGAGACTGGTCCCAAGTGCAGCTCTCCTATGGATGCGGGCAGCGGCGATACAGAAAAACAAGCCAAACCGAAGAACGAGAAGACTGGTGAGTGGTTCCCTACTCCCTCAGGGCCTCGTGTACTGAAGCGCCCACGCAAGGTGTGCGTTGCATGCATTTGCGTTCACGGTAGGGGGGAGAAATGGGAGTTTCCCATAAACAGATCGGAGGAGATGCGTTAAGCGCGCTTTCGTTTTGCGTTGAAAATTCTGCACCTCTTAAAAGCAGGTGTAAACAACTATTAGCATCAGGATCGTTTCAAACACTCATAGCATGAGCAGTGGGAATATCGCAGTCTGCACTCAGCAGTATCACAGCAAGTACTTCACGCTTTGCTACAGCGCACTAGTCAATACGTACATTTCCCCACCACCACTGCCCAAATTACACATCAGCTTTGGAATTGTTCCTGTTTTGACTTTGGCTAATGCATTATAGAAAGAGAAAAGGAGGTCCATTTAAGTGTGAAGTATCACAGCGAGCGCTATCTGCGTATTCTCCGTGGCACTACTGTGTACGTTGAGGCGCTCGGTGTCCGAGATGCCCACTTGAATCACCATGAGTGAACAACCGTCCGTGTGTCTGCCAGCCGATGCGAGTGCCTCCTCTGAAGCTTGGCTGGCGGAAGAAGGGAGGAAGGCTCCTCTTGTGGCCTCAGACAGCAGCTCCTCCGGGGGATCCGACAGCGAGGAGGATGACAAACATGCTGCCGGTGCTGCTGCTGCAGCCGGAACCCCGGAAACAGGCGGCGCCCCCGGGAACGAGACGGCTGACCTCAAAAGGTTTGGATCTTTTTAGCTGGAAACTTTGGTAGTTAAATCCTCCTCTGGTGACCAGTCCACTCTGCAGCCACAATCAAAAAGCTGCACTGTGTGTGTAGAAGCATATTTGAAACCTAATTACATTACAGGTGATTTAGCTGACGCTTTTATCCAAAGCAACTTACGTTGCATTTTTAACCCATGGCTTTTTACATTTTTGCCCGGAGAGCAATTGGAGGTGAGGTGTCTTGCTCAAGGACACTTCATCATGGGACATGGAGCAGTCGGGGCTCGAACCGCCAACCTTTTGATTCCCAGCAGACCCTCTCTACCCCTGCGCCACGTCGGCCCTCGTTACCACACTAGGACTGTCAAAATTGCTCAAATATTCTATTTGAATATTCGCACACACATATATTTGAATATCTGGTTGCGCATTGGGCACGTCAATAACACAGTATCTAATGTCAGCTTCTCTGGTTCTTTACAGACAACTTGAGCTAGAACTCTTAAGGAATTCAAGAGCTTTTTTCTATATTTTAGATACAGCCATGAATTAACTAACTTATGGTCATCTTTATCGCCCCCTTTTTTAAGGTGGACCAGCTGATCTCCTTTAGCTTTGTTAGCTGATAGCATCGGTTTCCCTAAGCTACGGTTATCTAGTATAAAGTACAATTCCAGAGGTTACATGAATCCCAGGATGAATATTAAAATGTTTTTTGCAGTGGCGGAGTCAAGGGTCAAAACGGTGAATCCAAAGTACAGTGACTTGCCCCTAGCTTGAAGGTGCATCGTGGTCGACTGACTGGTGACCGTTTGTCTGTGTCCTGCAGTGAGGAGAGTCCGGTGTCTCTGGAGAAGCTTTCGCTGTCCGATCCTCCTAAAGTGTCGGAGCCTGCTGAGGATTCACCCCCAACCACACATACGGACAGCAAGTAGGTGACTTTCTATTGACTCTGAATACAAGTTTGAGCTGTGCAGAGATTAGCACTGTCCTCAACCACAGATGCTCCAAATGAGTGTATGTGTGTGAGTTCTTAACACAATTGAACCAATTTGTTGATTGGGTCGACCTTGGAGTTTCACACAGAGAAGCACTGCTTTAAAGTTTGTTTACCAGTGATCTGCTCACAACGTCCTGTTTCAAGGCCTTCAGCATCAATGAACTCTAAAAAACAACTAATTCACTCAAGGAATGAACCTAAGCTACAGATTAGTTGACCTGTTGATCAAGAGGAGACATCCCCAACAACTAACTCTTTCTGGAGAAATCCATGCTACTTTTAGGTACGGTGTTTTGTACATTGGTCAGAATGAAGCCATCTGATGACATCACATAAGCATTTATTTGCATGAACGGATTCCATGCATTTATAAAGGAAAATGAAATATTAAGAGGCATAATTTGAAGCGCTGCACAGGAAGCGTTTCCAGTAGTGTAGCTGCACAAAATTTGTAATTACTGTTTTATAGAGAGCTGAGTGACGACGTATTTTTGTATAGCAAGCCAGAAGTTGCCATAGCATTGGCTTTCTCCACAAAATTGCAATGGGATTTTCCTTTTGGCTTTTGGATTATTGCAGTAAATAGACTGTGTGCATTTTGAGGAGTCAATGAATCTTCACAAGTAAAATGAGAACGTGAAGGAAGAGATGACGTTTTGTAGTCAGACATTTATTAAGAAGCCTCACTGTTTATTGAGTATCCATTCAACTTGCATATCTCCACATGTCAGGTTCCTGCAGCGCTCTTTTTCATCACTACACAGCCATGTTTGTGACAAAATAGTCCCTGTGTAGGAGGTTAACTATAGAGAGCATCGTGGATCAAATTCACACTTTTTGGTCAAAAATTGATGTCCAGCTGGTGCTCATCTCTCCGCTTCTGTGTTCCTTGCAGAGAAGAAACGCCGCCGCCACAGGAAGTGTCAGTCAATGGGCCGGTCTGAGCTGCACTGCTGCTCCCTTCAGTGATGGTGCCTGGCACCGTCGGCCTCCTCCAGAGAGACTCCTCCCCTAAATAACGTCACTGCAACTACAGTGGGTTTTTTTTTTTTTTACTGAATCACTCGACCATGTTATTGGACCTGGACACTGCCAATCAACACCAATAATGAAAAAATAAAAAAAGAGAAACAAAACCAACAGACAGAAAAGTGTAGAGGAATCATCTTCGCAGCTTTTTTTTTGATGTTGCACATAGTTATGTGCGGTTTTAATGTAGCAGCATCAGAATCCGAGGGGTAACATCATCATCATCATTATTTTTCTATGTCCTGAAACCGTCAGAATCCCATTGTGAGGGATTTTACATCGTCACCCCTGAATGGATAGCACAGGCTAACTTTGATAATGCCTCAACAATAGATACTTATTTTCTCCAAGCTTCAAGAAAAAGCACTTATGCAGCCATTTTGTGTACATTATAGCACAATATAAGTGTCCTCCCACCCAGATCAAGGTTTTCTTTTTGTGTTTCTTTCGTCGGTCTCTTGTTGTCGTGCGTCACCAGGTTCCTGAATGTTCTAAAGTGCTTCAGGACAGTGGAGGAGAAGGTGGAGGGTGGGTTGCTGAACAGAGCTCTAATAGTATTACTGTCTTTTGCTCATGTGCAATAATGTCAATTAGCCATTTATATTTAAAAAATTAAATTCAACATTTTTCTTTGTCTCTTTACAAATAATCAGAGTTGGACACTTGGATTTGGTGTAATTTGGGGCCGATAAATTTTGATATCTCAACTCGATCGTTGTGATTTTTTAATTTGTTTGTTTTAATGCATGTATAACCGGTTCTTTGTTGACCTAGCTAGTGAGCTAAGACCTTCTGATTGTATTGACCTTTACAGTCCTACTGCTACCCCCCTAAAATCAACCAAACATTATCTACCTATATACGAATATTATCTACATTTAAAAGTCATTTTACAAGCAATCTTGAGATTATTATTGTCTGTTCCTTTGTTCTCTCCCCACCGGGCACTTACTCACAGGGCTTGAGTGGCGACTGGTCAGCGTGACGCTGTATGTTACCTTTTAAGTTTTAATTTGGTCTCCGAGCAGCAGGATTGGAAAGAGGGCAGGTCCGGGTTCTTCAGCGCTGCCGACCTTTTGGTGTACTTATTTCAATCATTTGACAGATCAGGTTCTACGATCATTGTTAAACCAATATAAAATTAAAAGTGTCTGGTTGACCACATTAATACCAAAAGCTTTGCTTTGGCCGTCTGGTTGTTGTGTCTCCACCTCTGCAAAGATCCAGCTCAAAGACACCGATGTATGAAGATGCTAGACGGTGCTACTTCTCCTCTCCCCTCAGTACATGTTGGGCACTAAACATTGGTCAAAATCAATGTGGTAGAAACTGAGATTAGCAGACTTTCTGGTTTCTTTTTTGGATCAGACTCCAAGCTCTCGTCTGCCAAAGCCAACGGAGTGATACCAACTAGTTCGACAGTGAGAATTGTGGAAAGTTCTCTTAAGGAGAGAGAACATGGTGTTGGCTAACTGGTGTCCCAGTCATGGTCTCCTGATGTCCCTTCACTAAGCATTAAAGGGACAAATTCAAACCATTTTTTTTATATCACCTGTATTTTCATTTAATCAACCAACAATTTCTTTGGCACATCGTGGCAGATATCAGTCTTCCTTCTCTTGGGTATGAGTGAACTAGATGGCACTGAATACATTTGGAAATCTCTCCCCTCGGTTACTGTACTGTACATATGAAACACCACCCCCCCCCCAAAAAAAAAAAACTTTAACATGGCACCACTAGCATTACAGGCCCATTATATTAGATATAAGTCAGACAGCTCTGCCTTCTCACATTTGATAAATAGCACTACAGGAACATCAATATATCTTTATTTCTAGTAGAAATGTCTCTCGAACCATGAATTGAATCCCTTCATTTTGGGGGGGGGATTCTTCAGACTCAATATCTTGATATTGTCAATTTACTCTGCTTGGTTTTTTCAAACCCTGCCAACAACAACAAGCCCACCGAGGGGAATCCTTCCAGCGCGGCTTCAGCGTTACATCTTGAGGAAACAGTCTTTGGCGTTGCTCCACATTTGTGTTCCCTAAAAGGAAGAGAGAATAATTACACGACCGCTGGAGTCACTCGGTCCTCTTCTCAAAGCTGGCCTGCTGCTCCGTACCTTTTTGCACATGCTGATTTGCATGACAGCATAATTGATGAGCGCTTCTCGCAGGTCTTTGTCTTTCTGCTCCTTGAAGCGCTGCATGTCCACCCAGGCCCTGTCAACATGCTCTCTAACACACACACACAATTAGAGGTGGAGTTTAGAAATGCGGTTGTATAAAGGTATTTTGTCATAGTAATTGTAAATAAACTTTCTACAGAGCTTTTCCTGCTGCTTCTACTGAAGAGGAGCTTGACTACTGATAACTGAGGCATTCACAAATGTCTTGTTTGGGGATCCAAATCCTGTCTGTGAAAGCGCACAAAAGTATATTGACCTGCAAAGTAATCCTACTAGTAGTGTGGTTATTTTTGTTATGAATGTTACTTTAGCTCGCCAAAAAGGGGCTTTATTTATTTTTTGAGGACTGACTGTTGACTGGAAGGAACCCAATGTTCCGTAAACCAACGGGTTGCTTTGAAGCGCGAGCTGTAAGGAGCAAGACGAAGCAGTGAATCTTCTAAACCTAGCGTGCACTTTAACTACTGTAGAGATGTTGAACTCCACAGCCGTGCACTCCTTGCTCCCATGATGTTTCTCCAACATACCACCTGACTTCTAAACATCTGCTCCGCCCCATTAAGCAGTGTCCGTGACTCACTCGCACTCGACCGTCTTCTCCTTGACGGTCTCTTCGCCCTCCGCGATCAGCTCCTCCAGCAGCTTCAGCCGGGCCTCCCTCTGCTCGGGGGCCTCCTGGCCAAAGAGCTTGTTGGTCATGCCTTTGAAGGAGAACGTCCGTACAATCTGAGGAAGACGTGAGCACAGGACACCACGTTGGTCTGGAAGTTGGCCCACCTGGGTTTGACATGCCAAAACCAGCTATCCCTGCCTTGGGGGTCAAGGGTTACAGGTAGCCTACCCCCGTGGCTATCTCCTCGTGCTGCTGCTTCTTGGAGACCAGGTCTTGGGAGGCCATCTCAAGCTCAAACTGGGTCAGCTCGTGTTTCCTGCACACTGCCCTGCCAAAGCAAAACGCACTACGTAACGCAATGTCATGCTGCTCTTGTGCCGACAATGCACAACTTTGAAAAAAACACAATATCCAGGGAAAACAGATTTGAAAAGCATCAAAAATGTCACTTTAATATTTATCAAATTCATGTAGAAAACAGATAAAGGACTATTCTAAAGGATTGGTATTAGCTAGAATAAAGTCAATCAAATTCTGCATTTTACTAAACTGAACTTTATCACAGTTGGAAGCAACAATAAAAAGCCTTTTAAACCTTAAGTTAAAAACTGATCAATGAGTGCACTGGTGACACAGCGACACTTCCTGACATTCTTCTTGTGTGGTGTCAGTAAAATATTACAAGGACCTTTTGTACACCACTTCTTAAGCCTTTCCACCCACGCGAGCATCACCCCCACCCCGTGTGCACAACCACAGGTGGGATAACTTAAACCAGTACAGTATCGCCAGTATACTTCCATCAAACTAGAGGCTTTTTTTTGCTCATCGATTTCAGTTGTTTGTGGGAAATAATTTCAATTTTCTTTTCCTCAAAGGAATCTGAGCCACTACGTGAGACACTGACCGAACTGTCCTGTTTGGTTGAAGGGCCTTAAAGAAAGGGTTTCTGATGTTAGTGGGGCCACCGTGTTGGACGAAGATAAGTAGAGGGCCTTACCTCAGAGCTTCAGCATAGAATAGATATTCTTTCAGTTGGTCTGCATAATGTTCCTCCTCCTCTAAAATATCATCAATTGAGGCTGCAAATCTACGAGTGAGTGACAAAAACAGCATCTGCATTAACATGCAACACAGCTGGCAGTGGCCACCCAGCAGAGTTAAATGTGTTCGACTGACAATGACCCGTCTGATACTCACGCATCCATGTGATGACCGGCACTTTGCAGCCCATCTCCCATCTCCTTCTCCACGGCGCTCCACTCGCTGCAGGGAACAAAGGGAGGAGTCACACACACACACACACACATCCGCGCAGGAAAATATAATCGTCTTGTTTTATTTGGTGAATATGAAGTATGTGCAGTGAAATTATTTTGTATTGGATGTGCTGCTGAATTTTGATCCCAGCCAATCTTTTTCTATCTAGTGACATTATTGTGCCGTGTGTGAAAGTTGATTTCTTTTTTTTATCCTCAGGCAGAGGGCGCTGTAGGCCGTAGATATGGTGAAGCCTTTGAGGGAGCTGTACGCCTGCGGTGTCCAGCTAGTGGTCTTCATTAGGATCTTCACTCTACAGACGTGGTCTCCAAAACTTTTCAATGATGAGCTGATAATGAGTTCATACTTCTGGATATAAAACAGTACTTTACTCCACCAACTTAATTAAGATGTTCTCTCCTTTATTCATCAGCAATTCATTTTGTTTCACATTTACGTGTTGTCCCACCTGAAGACTCTCCCGTAGTTGCCGTGGACCTTGTAAACACCATAGAGACGATCTGCCACCCTCTACAAGAGAAACAGTGAATACACAAGAGCAGCTGGTTACAAACTATGAGGAACACTTCAACCAGCAGAGCATTCAGATATCCACAATGCTTTACAATGGTCTCCCTGCTGAAACGTTCAGGGTATATTCAGTATGCAAATAAAGCATTATCATATTAATATCTTTGGTGATTTAAAAATAAATGTGTAAACAAGTGTTTTTTCCAACTTGTCTAAATGAACTATTTTTAAATGGGGACAGAGAGAGGGAGGGACAGACAGACAGGGACAGAGACAGACAGAGACGTACTACTCGTGCTCGGAGCAGCTGAGACGTGTGAGACTGCAGCTCGTCGCTGTAATGTTTCATCTCCATGAAGCGCCTGAGAGGGAAACGAGTACAGCAGATGGTCAGTACAGGCCCCTCCCCATCTTCCTACGCCGTCCAATGGAAACTCATGTATTAATCCACTTTGAACCATATTTAATATTATTTTGATTGATTATTTTAATGATTAATAATTTAAAGCAGGGGTTCAACATTTTTTGCCTCACAAACCGGTTTCATGTGAGACAGTATTTTGTGGAGCCGTCCTGAAGGTGTGATTGACGACGGCGGGGGGGCGTAAAAGGAGTAATAATAATAATTGATGGTGGTTATTTTCCACCTTAATGAATGCTGGGTGGAGCAGCCTTCAGGAACGGGAAAACCAATCGGTCATCCCGTAAATGCTTTTGAATTGATCAAACGTAGCATGAAGACACAGCTCTTTTTTGAAAACGGGCTAATCAAATTATTACGTCTTAAATTTTATGAAGTACACTCAAAAAGGATGAACTATTTTGACATTAAACGCTTGACAGCAGTTGAGCCTTAATTGTTACACGTTGCGTCAGAGACACGGACTTACTTATCTGGATTCCTCACCCTGAAGGTGGCACTGAGAGCTCTCAGCCTGGAATCGGCCTGAAATACGAGGAGAAGGTCAAGCTCTGTCAACACAGACGCTGTCTGCATGCAGAGATAGAGAACGCACAGATTACCTTGGCCTGGAATCCCGTCTCATACACCACTTCCTTCCAGCCGTGTTCCTGCCAGAAACAGAGATAAAAAAGGTTTTCAATGAGCCACAGACCCGTACTGATTATCACCTGACTTGTCAAACTACTTTTATTTGACAAATCAGAGTGAAAAGGTACATGACATTGTACGGTGTTGTTATGGTGACGGGCTACAGCAGGAAAGGTGAGTCGGTTGAGTCTGAGGATTCAGGCTTTTGAGGGAGGACACTGAGGGTTCAGGTTATGGGTTCGACACACATCCTTCTATCTTCTGGCTGCAGAAAGATCACCCAAGAGTTCCCTTCTTGCTGTTGGCCACTTGTTTTCATTTCAAAGAAATATTCCAGTACAAAAACAAGTGTTTTCTGTTTATAAAGTACAATCATGGAATGAAACAGTCACCCATCTATTTAAAGGTCCCATAGTTGGATCTGTTCAGTCGTTCCTCTTTCTGCTCGACATGACATGACATTTCTCTTTCAATGAATGAAAGCGACGTTGTGAGACTCTTCGTGCACTGCATTCAGATCGATGAGGCAGAGCGACACTGCTGCTTATTTTTCATCGGAGAATATTGATTTACCTGTTTTTTTCCCTATTGGAATATGTATCTGACTAATAAATGTCAGTTAACAGGCCAGCTTGAGCAGCACGTACCTCAGTGAGGAAGTGGTGGAGAATCTTGTCATTGGAGAGGACTGGGTGTGATGCCACACGAAGCAGGAAGTTCTCCAGCCCGATCCGCCGGCGCTCCACAAAGTCCGGGTCCATGTTGTCAGCCGACAGCTTGTGCCACACAAACTCTGCCTGAAGGCCGGAAAACGGAGACGCCTGCAATTCAACTTCTCGCTCGACAGCGGTGCTTTGTGGTCACTTCTGCTTGGTTGATCATTTTTTTAATTATATACGGTACAAACAACCTAATAATCTTACTCGGCTAAGGCCTTACTTAGGCCTGTTCCAATATATTGACTTATCGCACAATAGAAAATGAGTGCGATCCTTTTTGGTGGTAATAATTTTGGTGTGCAATAATCGCACAACATAAATGTGATATGGTGACATATAACTACCTTCCTGTCTTCTAAAAGACCAAGCATTGAAATAAATAAAGTGTGCGTTAATCTTAAGTGAAAACCTCCACTTTTCTACCAATACAAAGTGTATATTTTTCTGTTTATAATAATAACAACGCACCCTCTTCTCGGGCAGAGGAGGCACCACGATGTACGGATAAGTGACCAACAGGTAGTTCCGCAGCAGTTCAAATTCACTGTATCTCCTCCACAGGGAGTCCGGCGCCGGATTGCGGCCTTCGGCAACTGCATCCATCGGCCTGCGTGGAACACAATACCAACATCCATGAACCACCGCGCAATAACTACGTGCAATAAAGATCCCGACAGCCCCGAGCAGAGGGGGCCGTGCTCACCGTGTCTCGACGAGGTACACGGTGAACGTCTCCTGCATGTTCACCGTGTTCCTGCCGTTCCTCTTCTCCGCCTCAGCGACACAGATCTCCATCAGCGCGGAGGCCTCGTCCGCCACCGGAGCCGTGACGTCACACAGCATCACCGACGGCTTCACTTTGTTGTGGTGCAGCTCGGTTGATGACGTCAGCGAACAGCTGTCGAACTATGAAACTCGACCTATTAAGCGAGCGTGTGTCCGCGTGGACGTCCCCCAGAGTCCATCTGCGGGAAACGTGTTTAACGTCCTCCGGATTGTGCCATCAGCGTGTATTATTGCATCCAGTTAGCTGTGTGATACATGTAAGCTAACGGTAGCTAGCTAGCGCTTAACTATCTATTCCCTCGAATATGGCGAAAGCAGTTTGACTAAAACGGGAAGAGGAAGCTGCTGTTTTACCGCGTTGTTCAGGCTGCTGCTCTTCGTCGGTAGTCATCTGACTTATCCTCATCCTCTCACCTCTCATCCTCTCATCCTCCGACCTCTCATCCTCACGTCCTCCCCATCGCTCCTGATGTTAGTGGTGCGGGAGGACGCATGCGCGAAAAAAACTACAGTAACCCAAACAGATGTGACGGTTGAAACATTTCCAGAAAGACTGGAAGGATTTGCAGACGTTCATTCGACGGCTTCACATCGAGTCGAAACCTTGAAATGACTCACAGCGGAGCCGAGTGGGGAGAGCCAGTGGCTTCACGCGTCGGTGTCTCTACCGCTCAAATCCCAAACATAATATATACAAGTGAGGAATGTAAATACATATTTTATTCAAAAACAATTCAACCCCTAACTGATTAAAATTATTTTTGACCCCGAAATACCCTTCATTCACTTATTTTTAGTAGAACACCCGAAATAGACAGCGCCCTGCGCACAGCTGCTGCTGATTATGATGACGACACCAGCAGGTGCCGATTACCACCACGGAACGCCACGTGGGGGCGCAGAGAGACCGACTATTGGGAGTTAACGTGTTCTTTTAGGCTCCTACGACTACAGTGACTATTTAATAGTGTGATAAACTACTATAACTACATTGTTTCCAATTTAAATTGCTTTAAATCTAATGTGAAACCACGGAGTCTTCAATACACACACAGACACAAACGAACATTTAAATCCACAGTTTTTATTCGGATTCTAAAAACTATATTGACATGATTGAAAACATAACCCGGCTCAGAAAGTAATTTCTAATTCCAAACAAAAAATAAAATAAATTAAAAGCCTTACGTCTGGTGGTGGTGGTGGTTAATCTTAGCTTCTGTAGAGCATTACCACAAAGAGATGAGAACACTAGATTGAAAAGCCGGCTCTGCCTGGACGCAGGCTGCAGTCCCACAAACACACAGAGTCCTACGGGCCGGTCCTGCTGCTGCACCGGGCCCTGCTGCTGCAGCCACTTCGCTCCATCCGTTCCTCGGGGAACACCTACAGCCATAGTGAACCATGCCCAATGTGTGGCTCAGGTCCCCAGACCTCCAGTAAACTGCTCTAACCAATGTGGCCTGTTGGTAACGAGCCAATAAAAACACCGCAAGATACTTCGACCGCGTCTTTTCATATAATGTAGTTTACGGATTGGATGAAGCAGTACCATTAAATGATTTGGGGTATTAATGGTATGTATGTGAAATAATAAAATAATATTACAGAAGCAGTTAACATTCTGATTAAAATAAATTAATTCTAAAAAATAAAAATCAGAAATTCTGATTCGAGCAACAACTTTATTAAAAAAAAAAAAAAAAAACCTTTTCAACCCACATATGGTTATGCCCGCAATGTATGACTAATGAAGATATACTTTGCAATCGATATTTATAAATGAAGTACTTGTGATATTAGCTCAGTCACCATATCGCAGACATAGAAGACAAGTTACTTTGAACGGGGCAGATTGAGATGAAAACCACTTCTCCTTCTCAGAATATTACCCCACCCCTGGTCACCCAACTGTCCCGTAGCTTTTCACTCGTCATCCATGTTGTATATCAATGTTTTCAGACTGTTAGTCTGATAAAACACAAATTTAAACACGTCCCCTGTGAATCACGCGTCCTCGCCGTGGCAGGGGACCTGTGTGTCACTGTGATGTCGCTATGGGCCGGTTACAAGTCGATTGAAACGTCCAACCAGAGGGTGTTGAACCGTGCTAAACATACAGAATGCGTAGTAAATCCTAACAGCATGCTTGGCATCTATTTAGTACTTTAAATGGACTCCCTTATGTTCTTTGTGTAATTATTGAGGCAGCCTGGTCATTGACTATTTCCTGACAGAGGTCCATAGAGCAGCAGCAGCCCGGTCAGCAGAACCAGCCCGAGGAGAACATCCTTTGTCTGTGCCTGGATCCAGAGCATCCAATCACTGGGTGAGCAACAACGTCAGACCCGGGCAGCCCGGGGAGGGGGGGGGGTCATACTCCACTAAACACACCCTCTCCACCCTTGCAATAACGGCCGGTGTTGTGTAAGGACAACCGCTTATACAAAAAAAATATATATATATATTGAGGGTTTACTTGAACATAAAAAAGCATTAGTCACAATACAGAAATAAACAAATGGCACGTCGAATTCCTAATTTAAAAATAAAGTGGTGCTTGGAACTTTCTTACTAAGGAGACAAGTTAAATAAATTACTACCATAAACGTTACATACAAATCTGTAGTAGTATATACAAAGGAGTTATTAGACAAGAAAAATCTACAATTTCAAATTTGACGTTTGGACAAAGACAGCAGTAGAACCTTATCTTACATAGCAGGGTTTGTGTTAACAAGAGTGGGTCAAAGCTGTGTGTGTGTGTGTGTGTGTGTGTGTGTGTGTGTGTGTGTGTGTGTGTGTGTGTGTGTGTGTGTGTGTGTGTGTGTGTGTGTGTGTGTGTGTGTGTGTGTGTGTGTGTGTGTGTGTGTGTGTGTGTGTGTGTGTGGAGAAAGGCGGGGGAAGGTCTGACAAACCAGTGATAGAAAGCTTCCAGCTGACCGTACAGTGTCTCTGCAGCTCCCTGACAGACGCAGACATCCATGTCAAAGGTGCAGCTGGAGGTAACCATGGTGACACAGAGGAGCAGAAGAGAGGGGGTGGGGGCTCTAAGCACCTTCATATCTGAGACACGGGATGTGATGGAAGTATGTGTGGAACTTCCTATGTCCCAGCACCCTTCAGGGGAAATTTTATCAACCCAAGTCTTATTTCCATAGTTGGACCGAAATAAAAAGACACCTTTTTTTTTTTAAATGACATTATGAGCATTAACAATTCAATGACAAAAAGATACAAGAGTTTTTTTGGGAAAAACGTGGTTCCCCAGAAGAACCTCAATTTATTCACAACTAGTCTTAGTAAAAAAGTTAACAGAAAGTAGACCCCTGGATGGCTAACTGCGTAGGAGTCTACTTTTAGTGCAACTTGGCCGGCTAAATGAAATGAACCATACAGATGGTTAGCTACCTGGCTGCCCCTGCTTCATCACGTTAGCATGAGCTTAGCTGCACCAGCTAATCAAGGGGTACTTTTCCATATACAGCTCATTCCTCTGTTGGTCCAACAAGTAACTCCAGAAAACCAAATACAAATTCACACTGTCCCATCATGAAAATAAGACTGAGGTTAAAAAATACGTGGACATTCATACAACGCTTTGAGCCCTGCGCCGAGTCCGTCTCAACAACAAAATCAATAACCATAATCTCTCCGAAGCATCCCATAATATCACTCGGCTCATTAGTATCCCTCCACCTAAAATATCCCACCTTCAGATCTCCTTCTAAAGATTGTTTTTTTGATAGATATGGATACAAAATAAATCCGTCCTTTTTCCTTCGGCACCTTAACAAAACCTGAACACTAGTAACAGTAGATACTGATTGAAAAAGAGTTCAGTGGTTTACTTTGTAAACACTCGGTGACAGTTTCACCATCACACTCGATACCTGACAGACTCTCCTGGTTTGATCTCTGACAATGATGCATGCCTTTCACAGGGTGGGTGTGTTATATGTATGGTACAAATGGGAGGTTTTGGGAGAGAAAATAAAGAAATCCTTCATGTACTGCTGAGGAGCCCCCCCCCCCCCGAAACAATACCCCCCAGGCAACGGGACACTCCCCCCTTTTAAAGGTTTCCGTCAGGCAGCGAGCGGCAGAGAGGAAAGCGCTCCGTACACGAGCTCTTCGGGGTTGTTCTGTTTCCGGTGCAGCGCTGCGTGGCCCTGGTCCCCCCGTCCGCAGCTCCGCCTTCATTCGGTTTTGTTGACTCGCACGCATACGCCCAGCGAGCAGAGTGGTGAGACTTTCGGAGAGGGGGCGGCGGGTGGGGGTGAGAGGCGGCGGCGACTTTGTGAGACGACAGCGAGTGGTTTGTCACGGACATTGTTATTTTTTTGTACTTTTTCTGATAGTCTTTATATAACAAAAACACTGAAACGTGGTGACGCAAAGTAATTAGTTCGACACTATCCAACAGCCCGGAGCATAAGTGGTGAAAGGCCCCTGGGATTGGCCCCGTCGGGCGGCTCATTCGTCACTGGGTGCATCGCGCCCTTTTTTAAAATTCAAACAATAAAAGAGTCCTGCCTCCTCCCTAGGCGTCCGACAGGCAGCTCTGCACACTGTCCATCCACTGCTGCGCGCTCATGCTGTCCTTGGCGCAGAAGTTGTACACTCGTTTGGTTGTCTTGAGCTGAAAGACGACAGGAAAGACAAGAATTACACTGGAGACACGAAAACTTGCCGGCAGAAACAAGGGATGCCAGGTGGGATTTGCGAGGCAGCGGCCCTTTGGACATCCTTCTCAACATCAGACTTGTTGAAACCCCTTCAGATTCTTAGTGATATTCACGCAAAGGACAACTGTATGTACCTTAAGAATTTCTTCTTCTTTTTTTAATCTGCTGTTGTGACTACGGCGCTATAAATCAAACTAATCCAACGCACTAATAATGCATGAATAGGACCAAGAATTAAATAAACTTACATCGAAGAAAGCTTTCTCCTCTATATTCTTCGGCGCTCCCATGGTCGGCGTGCCTGGAATGACGGACTCGACCTCGGCCAGCTCGATCACCCCTTTACACTCCTTGTCCTGTCGGCTCTCGTAGTATCTCAGCTGTGGACAGACGATGATGAGCGCATTCTTTTGCTGTTACAGGGTTATTCTTTGGATTGTTTTCCAAGGATTTGAGGGTTTTGAATTTTGATCTCAACCACCCCTCCGTCTTACCTGATGCTTGGTCTTGTCCAGCACAAACCACCGTGGTTTCCATGGTTTCAACAATGCCCCTTTTTTGTAGAGGATGCCTTCAAAACTCCTGACGGGAGAGTAGACAAAATATGACGATGGAGACTCTGGTATTACAAACATACGTTGTTTCGGCTGTTGACCAACCAGCCGTATGTACTATTAAATAAGTGAGTCCTCCGTCTGCATTGCTTGTTGTGCCTTCCCAGCTAGATGCTCCAAGCCTTGGTGTAGCAGCGGAGTGCAACACTGCAGGTACGGACCTGTTCTCGCTCTCCGTGCTCTGGAACTGGCTGTAGAGCGTGCTGGTGCTCGGCCGGCCGGCGACGGGGGTGGAGGTGGCGCTCGCCTCGTGGTCCATGGCCAGGTTGATAGAGGATCCTACGCCGCTCTCCTGCAGGTAGACGCCCTGAGAGCGCCGATGGTGGCTCAGGTTGGACGCCATCAACAAAGAGCTGGAGAACGATGGCTGTGGAGGACAGAGGGAGTTTGTTTTTAGACATCTGTGAAGTATTTGAGGTACTTTTCCCTAATGTCACCAACTATTACAACAATATGAATACAAAAACACTGAGGAAACGTCCAGCATGTCTACCTATACGTGAGCAATACTACGTTAATAACAAATCAGAACATGTCTGTAAAAGCACAACAATAGAGTGCTGTGTTTCCTACAGACAGAATAAATAACATTTAAGAACATCTCATTTACAAGTTCTCTCTTGAATACAACACTGCAGACTGTTTCCTGTATCATCTCATGAAAATGAAACCGCTGGTGTCACCTTGCTCTCCAGCTTGCACTCAGTTCTCTGCGCGGCCTTCATTTTATCCCACGTGTCTTTCCACTTCTCGGACGTCTGGCCGAGCTCCGCCTCCAGACTCTGCAGGTCCTGCAGCAGCTTGGTGATGGCGTCGGGCACCACCTTGCTCAGGCTGTCGTAGCACGGCCACACGATGCGGCGCTGCGATTTGGGGCCGCCGCTGTCGGCCTTATCGAGTGTCTCCTCTGCCACGCGCTCCTGCCAGCCCCTTAGCTCCCAGTCGTATGATGGCCCTTCTGACAGAGTCTCCTCCATGTAGAAGTCCCACACCTTCAGGTTGGAGTTAAAAGTGTACGGCCGCAGAACCTGGAACACACAATAGCTCCCTTTAAAGTGACCGGGTTACGGATTACAAAGCCTGCATAATGATCACGGAACAGACCTACGGTGTGCCTCCATGACAAAGATCAATCATTGGTAGTTCCTCGCAGCTGTCTACAGCTATCTATCTTCCAACATAATTCCACCATAATGTAATCTTGCAGTCAAGGAATATAAAAAGCACGACAAGGGTTACTTAAAACTGAGCCAGGCGTTACTGATGTCAAATTATCCTTCATGATAGAAGCTACTAGTTCAATTTGCTCATGCTGTTCACTAGTGCTAATCGCTACCTAATCGCTAGTGCGAATTACTGATGTTAATCATTAAGGCTGATACCAATACCATATTTGAATAGCAACAGCAGGGTTTACCAGTTGCTATGCATATTTACAATACACTATTCATACTCTTTAAACATTTCGGAGCCATGTTTATTGCTCTGTCTGTTTACTGCAGCTGGTCACTTGCATCCCTGCGAGGCCTTTGCAAAGTGAAAAGCTGGTCAAAGTGTGTGTAGAGAACCGCTCTGAGCAACTGGTTTGTGGGAGAAGAGTGCGGCGCTCTCCACCTCCTCGTCCTCAGAGAGAACATGTAGTTGTAGAAGACCGGTGTTTTCTCGTTGAGTCGGTCGATGTAGTCCCACACAGATTTGCACACCTGAGGGCTTTTCCTCTCTCCTTTCTCCTCATACAGCACTCCTGCACACACACACACACACACACACACACACACACACACACACACACACACACACACACAACAGAAGTGGCATTGTCAGAAACACAGACACTGCATCTATGACATTCGTACATTCTGAGATTGAAACAAACAGCAGCATTTGGAGAATCAGAACTGTTCTCACCCAGCTCGATGCGTTCGTAGTCGGAGTCGAGCAGGAAGGTGCGGAAGCGGTTGGACACGTAGTGGTAGGCCAAGAACTTCAGGTAGTACTGACTGAACTCAAACTCCATGGGGAACTGCAAGTGGATCTGAGGGTGGGGGGGAGAGGCGGAATCCAGAGAGTCAGGGTTACAGTTTAAAGGGCAACGCTGACACGGTTTGGACTGCATACATGCTAAAATGTCGCCAAGTCACAGCAACCGCCACAAACTGACTCCGTATCTCCTGGGCTCAGACCTTCCGTCCCCTCCGCCCACATAGTACCCTAATAGTCTGCGGTCTGAAATCATGACGTGAAACAGCTGTTTCTGGATCAATAAACAATCCAGCCAAGAGGTGCAAGTTGGCGGCGTCACAATGTTGTCAACCTGTTGTTGGGTGTTTGCGTCACATCTTGTCCCTCTTCGTTCCTTCTTTACAGAGGTGCTATATGGGACATGGGGGGGACACTGAAGATAAATTAAGCTGCACTTCCTTCATATGATAACAGGTCAGAACCCATGCCAGCGATCGGCAAAACAGGGAAAGAAAGTCCAGGTAAACACACACACAGCATTGGAAATAAACACAGCGAGAGGAACACACTTATTATTGTGCGTGTTTTATGCATCAGCTTTTTATGAAAGTGCATTAATTAACGGTATAATCAGTGGGATTAATGCCATTGCACCCCTAACCTATCATGCCTCTTATTAAAACAACAGCAGAAGCCTCAGACTGCTGACCCACCTGGTGTACACAGTCCAGGAACTGCAGGAAGACGGGCGTGAAGCCGCTGTTTTGGCTGCCCAGGGTCTGTGCTCCACGGTGGCTGAACCGGTGGCCAAACGACAGCCACTCCTTCTCCACCAGCAGTCGGAAGCCATCAAACGTCCGGTAGTACGGATCGGACAGCAGCTGCACCAGGGACACCACCTGGACACAGGGAGCGGCGGGTCACTGCCAAGCCTCGTGGAAAAAGCTTTCCGCTGTAGAGCCTGAGGTTCTGCGTGTGAGTCAGACCTGTGTGGTGACGTCCCAGCCGTCCTCCAGGCTGACCATGACCGATGAGCCTGAATCAAGGAGCTCCACCACCAGCACGGATACCTGCAGCACCCTGTGGAGCTGCGTACACACACACACACTATAAGAACAGTGCCATGAGGTCACAGAATGAGCGGTGTGCGGGAGCACTGACCAGAGCAATCCACTCCGACTCCTCCAGGCAGCGCAGGAACCTCATGTTGGGTTCAGAGGTCGAGGAGCTCGGCACGCAGGCCTTCATCAGTTTCTTGAAGCTGTTCTTCACCTGCCGCACATCGCAGACCTCGATGGGAACCACCTCCCACTGCTGAAAGGAGTCCTGCTTGCCGCCCTGAACCCAACGACATTGTTGAAGTCAATACTGGTGATCTTCTTCTAGCCCTAAAACACCACAGGACCTCTAAATATCAGCCTGTGTGTGGTTACCTTGAGCTGGGCCTTGTCTCCGATGATGTAGAGGTAGGCCTTCTGCTGGCGGAGAAAGAGCGCCTCGCTCGGCCCTCCGTTGGGCTGTGGCGACTCCTTCCCTGCCAGACGTGTTCCCACGTCCGGGTTGTAAGCACTCAGGCGCCCGCTGCCCCGGATGCTGCCCCATTTACCTGCAATACAACAAGTAGAGTCTTCAGAGGAAGAGAAGTGTGACATAAAAACTTTTTATGTCACACTTTTTATGTGACATAAAGTCTTCAGAGCTTAGGCGGAGGTGAAACAGACAGATCGTAATGGTCGTAATGATCCTGTAAAACACATTGATGTGTATAACGTTGCTGCTGCTGGCAAACAAGACAGTAGTCACTTAAAGTACCCAGCTCAGTGACGGCTACGTTATGACGTCAACTCCAATCGCTGCTGACATTCAGCAGAGGAAACGACAAACAAGAGGTCAGACAGCAGAGCTGCGGCAGCAGCATGCACAGAGAGCAGACCATTAGTCCGCGCAGACGGCACCTATCAGGAGCCACAGCAAACACACTGACGCTACTGTTAGAGAGATCGCATTGGTTAGACAGGGGTGGAGGGAGGGGAGTGTGGGCGGGGCCTACTGTACCTCTAGGAGTGTTCCTAGCCTTCCCAGACACTTTGGGCTGAGAGAGGGAGATGACTTTCGCCCTTTGACCATGAGCTGAGGTCAAACGACAGAGACGGCCGGTTAACCAACGGCACACGACGGGGGACCGTGACACACACACACACACACGGGCACGCACAAAACACAATCATTCCTCCATTGTCATCCTCCTTTTGTAGTGCCAGTTTCAGCAACAAATGAAAACAAAATTCACAAATTTTGTGTTGAAAACAGAATAAAGCTAACAACAGAAAAACTACAGGAGCAACGTGGAGGACACGCGTACACACACGTACACAAACACAAACACGTCTCACCTCCTCTGCTGAAGGTTGCGGGGGCTTCCTCCTTGGCGCCCATGACCTGCTTCATCAGAGCGCCGATCTTTGGCTGCCTCAGCTTGTCTGAGGAGTCTGTGGGTGGAGGAAACCCGTCAGCAGTGTGACCCCAAGGTCCCAGTGATAGTGAGTCAGTGTGTGTGTGTTTGTGTGTGTTCACCAACCAGAGGTGCTCATATGAGTGGAGGTGAAGCCACTAAGTGTGTTTCTTCCGCTGCTCTCGCTGTAAGAAGGCATGGAGCTGATGATGGCCTGGAGGTATTTCTCCTGCTCCAAACTAATGGAGTCGGCCTGCGACGGCCCTGCACAGTAAAGAAAACAAAAGAACCAACCTTTATGCTTCATGCTCTAGACCGTTAGGTTAAAGACACAAAAAGGCAGATTTTCAAGTGCGAGGTTGGCCCTTTGACCCCGGTGTGGTTGGGGACTCCGGCAATAAATAACAGGCAATATTCCCGGGAATGAAAAAAAGTTCAAATAATAAGCTGTCTAAAATAGATTGTTTTACCTGACGCGGGGGTGTTGGGGGACTTGAAGAAGCCCACCACCCCTTTAGCATGGAGGCCTGCAGATCGCAGCAGCACCCCTTTTGTCCGCGGATTCCTCCAGCAGACCACAGGGAAGCGATTCTGACGGTAGCAGCGGCAGATTCTCTGAATGGTCATGTCTGGGATGCTCTGAGGCACAATCAGCAGACCCGGGTAGCTGTAACACACACGCACACACATACAGACAGACACACACACGGTGTTAAACGCTATTGAATCACCACCAGGTCTCTGTGAGCTGTCCTCCTGGGGGGGGACTCACCTCCTGCAGACGGTGTACATGCGGTTGACGGTAGAGATCCGGAACGGCTCGTTTTTGGAGCGGGTCAGGCTGTTACTGAGCGTGCCCAAGCCCAGGCGCTGGTAGTCGCGGCAACAGGCGCGCTCCACGACGTTGCTCATGGTCTGCCTGTCAGACGAGCGCATGGTGGAGGAGAGGGTGAGGGAGCTCTGGTCCACCTCCTCTGAAACTGTGACACAACACACAGAGAAATGAGACACTGTTTTGGTGATGGTCATAACGATGTAAACAAATCAAACAAAAACGAGTTTAAAGCTGCATTCACCCGAGATTTCGTCTTCGTCCAGCTCCGACTGGAAGCTGCTCCGGTTCTCCCAGGTGGGGGGAGAGTATTTCTTCCTGGTCACATACTGTCGGCCGATGGTCCTTTTGGCACTCTTCACTAGGTTTTTGGAAAGTGTCCTGACAAAGACAAGGGGGGGATAAGGGGAAAGTTCAACATTGGTGTGCTCATTCAACAACGTATCCCATTTAAAGTCACATTCTCTGAAAAAGGAAAGCATGTCTTTGATTGTATGTGATGGGGGGAGAACAACAGTTACATTACATTACAGGTCATTTAGCAGACGCTTTTATCCAAAGCGACTTACATTACACTTTAAACCCACGGCTTTTTCACATTTTTGCCTGGGGAGCAATTAGGGGTTAGGTGTCTTGCTCAGGGACACTTCGACGTGGAACATGGGGCAGCCTGGAATCGAACCAACAACCTTGTGCTTCCCAGCACACCTTCTCTAACCCCTGCGCCAACGACAGCAACAGTTGGTTGCTGCACCTTTGTATAAAAAGCTGACAAAAACTATGAACTGATAACAACAACAAAAAAGTAAAAGATAACAGTAATCTTTTCTTAATACACCATGTTCATGAACTTAGAGATGAACCTGGCAGGTTGCAGCCAGTGTGAGGGACAGGTCTCCCGCAGCCTAGGCATGATGCACTGTGACAGAGGAGACGATGATGCGCGTCACATGACTTGCAGTGCTTTACAGACCTTCTGTTTACAAAATGACACTCATGCAACCTGTTCAGATCTGCAGTGACATGCACTAAGTGTAGGCAGACTGCGGGCAGAGGCTTGGCATGGTTTATTTCAATCTTTTTCAGGACTTTTAGCTGTTATCATGTTTTTCATTCAACACATTCTAAATGTATTTTCATGTCATGTTTGTTCTGTACTCGGTAGACCTTGATTCTCTGGTTCCAATGGGTCACTAGGTTTAAATAAACCAAGCTACTGATGAAATCTGGTACCATAAATAGTTAACGGACTGTAGTTGTATTTCTCTTGTCTTGTCTCTGTGCTGGACCCCCGGATGCTGTGATTTGGTGATTGACACGGTGCTCGTGTTGCTGATGGACGGCTCCGCTCGACTAGGATTCTTTGTAGTTCTTTAAACATGTTTACTACGTGGAAGGCTCCTTACTTGAGCGACTGATTCTTGTCCTTGGTCTTGTGCTCCACCACCATCTTCCCGGATTGACCCACTGTGAAGGCAAAGGTGCCCTGCACGTGCGGAGGATAGCGCAGCTTGTGCATGTGCTTTCGGAAAACCTCGGCCAGGTCAGACGCAACCTCCTCGTCGAAGGCAATCTTCATCAGCTGCGGGCGCAGACAGAGAACACAGGTGAAAACTGGGGAATGAGTATGTGAGACGAATATCTGCGATAGGGGTTGAGGATGTGAGGGTACCTGGAAGGTGCAGGAGCGTAGCTGGAGCCCCTCCTGGATAAATTGGTCCATGGGTAACGAGACTGAGATCCTCTTCTCCTTGGTCAGAGAGGCGATGGGGAACGAGCGGGTCACCACCTGCTCACCCACTGCGGGGGACAGACACGCAGGCAAAGATGAGGGTTTAGAAGACCCACAGACCCAGACCTGGGATGGAAGCTTTTATCAGTGTGTATGTCATCGCTCACCCAGCGGGTCGTTGGGCGTGCCCTTGAATATCAGCCTGTAGGTGGTGAGGAAGATGGCGCCCTCGGCAGGGAGCAGGGGCGGACCACCCATCAGCCCCATGGCCTCTTCGCGGCCGTCGGGGATCAAGTGGACCCGCATGCCTTCCATTACCAGCTCCTCACCGGGCAAAAGTGTCGGCCTCAGCAGCTTAGGCTGCGCAGACAGAAAGAGAGGAGGGAGATTAATCACACGCTTCCATAGCCAAATATTTCAATATAACAGTCTAATGTCAAGAAAACCGTAGCAATGAATGAAGCTTATAATTCACCCCCAAACCTATTTCAGTTTGAACCTTATGTTAGCAGTCGGGCGGACGAGTAGTAGCGGTAACCAAACGGAACAGCGTTGCATGCCGTGAGCGCCCGACAAATCCTTCTCATCCGTCAGAAGCGAGGGAACAATTCCACACATTCTTGGTCATCACCTTACTCAGATGACTTCCACTGATTGGAGTCAGTTAGGGTTGCTTTTAAATGAAATGCCTCCATGTCGTAAGCGAGGATCACTAGTGAGCACTACCAAGTTTCCTGTTAGCTCCCGCAGTCTATCGCAATTGACCAATTGGGCACGCCTGGTCTTGAGTCCAGGCATACTTTAACCCTATAAAGCCTTTGAAAATGATTCAAATAAAACTGTCTAAGATTCTGCTCATATTAAATATCTCACCTGCAATTTTAAAATACAATAATACATAGGTAATTGTTTTGACATTTGATTACAGGCCAACCACTGCACTCATCAAAGTCTCATGCGTTCACGACCATGCTGAGGTTACTGGTTTGGTGCTGAGCAGCAATGTGAAGATTGTTGCAAACCACAAAACTTTATCTGGGATTGGTGGGATCTTGGCAGGGAGGACGTAACAAACGATGAATGACGATAAATACACAGACTGTTTAATAATATTAATTTGGGTGTGTTTATCTGATGTTTATTTTGGTATTTCATAAATAACAAGGACTGTCGTGTTTGAGCTGTCCCCGAGGATACGAGGCTCCATCTCAGAGGCCTTTGTGTGCTGTATGAACTATTGAGCAGGCTTTTTCCTCAGGCCTTTTACATCACTTCCCCCCCCCTGAGCTGAGCCCAGTGAGCTACCTACGACCGGGCAAAATGTGAAAACCATGGGTGAAAAATGGAATGTAAGTAGCTTTGGATAAAAGCGTCAGCTAAATGCCATGTTCTGTAATAACTTGTTATTTTTCTTGTTGTCCATGTCTCGTTGTCTTACTGTCCAATGTCATGCACCAACCGCCATGTCAAATTCCCCTGCAATAAATGTTTCTGATTCTGATTCGGGGGGCACTAGTCTTTAGTAGATTGACAAAACATGTTCTGTTGAGCTCATAGCTGCCAGCAACACACTGCACCCTTCAGACTGAAGGCACTCAGCTCCTATGGGGGGGCCTCGGAGCATCCAAACTGCACAACCAGGCGGAGCAGTCAACCCAACATGCACTGCTCGTGCGGGCTTCGGGTTACAAGGTTTCTGCCTCTGGCGGACAGACGTACCTGCTCTGACACTGTGAGCCTGTGCTGCAGGGACTGGTGGAGAGGGGAGTGGGCGGGGCTGATTGGGGTTCTGCGCGGCCTTTGTCCAGCGGAACGTAAAAACAGGAATTGGTTACCTTTTGGATCGGAGGCAGTCTCTTGCTCTCCCGGTGGACTGCGTCCAGCGTCTCGATGTGCATCTGAACGATGTCTGCAAGGAAACCAGGGGACAATTGGGTGTGACGCTCAGGGCACAGGGAGGGATCAGGGAGCGAGTGTGTGAGGGTGGAGGGTGTACCTGGTATCATGGTGTGGAGGGCCTTAAGGTGCTCGTTGGTCACTCCGCTCTCGTTGCACACTTTGTCCACGAAGCGGTTGATGAAGCGCACCACGGAGTTTGCCACGTCCGAACTCTCGGCGTCTTCGAAGCCGCTTTCCGTGTCGTAGCTTTCCGCCATGCTGCCCGCAATACTACAAGACCAGGAGGATAAAAAGGTTTCCAAACTCTCACAGACCCGCCTGAGCTGGAAGCAAAGCAGTGTTTGAATGAAGCCGTCACACACTCCAGCCACCAGTTCCGAGTGGATTATCTAACGTGGGAACAGTTGCTCCTTGTGGGCTTAATCACATGCAATGTCTGATCTTGACGAGCTGCTCATGGAGCTCATGTATGTTGTCTTTAAAAGGTGGGTTGTGTAAAGTACATAAACCTCATGTTCCACACTGAACAGCTTGCTTAGAGATCTTGGATAGAACCCAATAAAAGGCATTTTTAGTATTTAAACGTTTACAATCTTTTTTTAATTGACTTTGGCTTTATTTCTATTTTAAAGGACGAATGTTGATTTGGTTGTAAATATATTCCATGAACAGATTACCGATAGCAGATATCAATTAATGCCTGTCTCCTCAGACAGAGATAAAAATGACATTCTGATAAACACCAAAAAAGCAGAAAAAAGTGAAATTGTCTCATTAAGATATAACAATGGTTTATAAAATCATTTCCTTTCCAAATGAATGATTCTCAGCAATGTTTGATAAGATGATTTGTTCTCAGTTTGGTCAGGAATAACAGGGGAACAACAATCATTGCTCTCCATATCAACGTGATAATATTATTTCACCTTGTGACACAATAAGGTTATAGTGATTTCAACTATATTGGGAGAAGTATATATATATATATATAAAATTTACCGGCCGACCTGCCTATTTTTACTTACAACTCCGATCCCCTTTTTATTTTGCCGTCCTATTACCTTTTTTAGAGCAGCTGGAGAATGACAGGAAAGTTCGGGAGAACGAGGCAGGTCGACAGCTGGCCGTACCTGTTTGTGACGTAGCTGTTGCTGACGCTCTCCACGTCTACGAGGCCGGTGCTCCTCAGCAGGCGGTTCTTGCTGGTGTCCAGCGGCAGCAGCAGGTAGCTCATCCTGTTGGCGTAGTGGATGGCCTGGCTGAACACCGTGCTCTCCTCCTTCTGCACGCGCTCCGTCTGCATCTCCTTGCTAAGCGTGGGCCACAGCCGGCTCTGCTCTGACGCCAGCTCTAGGGCGCTGATTTCCCTCCCGTCGCCCAACGCGTCCTGCTCCTCCTGGGAACCAGTCAGAGAGAGGCTTCTTACTGATTCAACATCTCTGACCAACAGGGACACTCGGTTCAGCAGGTTGGGGGACTGACTCCTAGTCTTCTATTTGAAAAACTAAACGCCAAACTTTGAACATAATTTCTCTGGTCACTGTGGTACCATGCGCAGTGGGACGATGGTGCTCACATGGTTGTTCTGCTGCTCCCCCTCTTCCGTCTCCAGATACAGAGCTCTGATGTGGTTCTGGACGTCGCTGTAGAACATGGCCTCCCAGAACTGCATGGTGGCCCACACCATGTGATCCTGAACACAGCTGTAGGCAAACTGTGTGATGCCTGCACCCATTTTCTGTCAGACAAACACAGGGGAAGATTTTCATGAGGGGGGCCAGCAGCTTGGAATGACATTCAGTCGAATGAATACTCAACAAAGACATCCCACCAACTTCATCCCACCACAACATCTCCTCACTTTGTCGAATGGAAAACAACTAAGGGGATCATTAAATTTCCTGACTAACAGGTTCTTTGCTGTAGTTGAAGTGAAATGAGTTTGCTGGAGATGGTTGTGAACTTACTCTGCAGAAGGCTGTGACCAGCGGGAGGAGGGCAGCTGCTATACCATGTTCATCTATATGTGAGCAATCCTGAAAGAAATAAAGAAGCAGTCAATGATCTGACAACCTGCAAACCATAAAACAATTGTATTCAACATCTGAGACTTCTCATTGCATCTGAAGCTTTACATTCTGCCCCCTTAAAGGCAAACATTTTTAAAGAACACATCTTTCAATCTGTAATACATATATACTGTATGTTAAACCTTAAACATAAACCTGGCCTTGCTAGGATGAAAATTAATTGCTTTGATCGTGGGAGAATAGTGAGACATCGGGCCCACAGGCACAGACATGCAAAAGGTCCCAACTCCTCAACTACACATTGGAACAATACACACACACACTCATAAAAAGCCTCCATGTGTTGTTGCTTTGTGTGTCTTTGTAGATTTTCAGCATATCTCTGTGTCTCTCTCAATTTTGTAATTGTTTTGTCTTGTACCTTTAGTTATTTATGTGCCTTTGTATCAGTGTTAATTTCGTCGACGAAAACTATGACGAACAAATTTTTCGTTAACAAACCTTTTTTCCATGACTAAGACGAGACTAAGACGTGACGAAAACGATCTTAAAAAATAAAAACTATGACTAAATCTATTCTAACTTTTGTTAACGAGACGAGACGAACATGTTGGTGGTTGACGAAGTCACGATACTTTTCCCCCTAAATTCGCACGCAGCTGACAGACAACAGACCGGCAAAGTACGGCGGATATTAACGCGTCATGATGACGTCATCCACGAACCCAGAGCGCTCGCAGCGGTGCAGCGGTGGTTCTTGTGCACCGACTACGGACCGCAACGACTATTTTACGCTTCGGCGAGTTTGAATGTGGCTTCGTTAGTTTAGCTCAGCTGTCTCGGTTTAGCTGACTGTTAGTAGGCTGAAGCCGCGCTGCTTCACAGAAACACAAAGACCCGTTTAACAGCTCGGGGCTGTTGACACGTCTAACATAATAAAGTCATTGCAGGTTCTGAAGCCTCTCGCATTTCAAATACAGTTCACTCGCCACATGGTGATGAAGACGGTGTTAAACCGCCTCGGCCACCGTACGTTGGTTACTAAGCAACATAGAGGCGCGCACACACGTGACAGGTGGATCCTTTTGATAGAACTGCGCAGTGCAGGTGAAGGACGTGGCGGCACAGAGCAGGTGGAGGAAAACCAGCAGGACACAAGAGAGAAGAACTGGTCATGAAACCAAAACATAAAGACACAAAGAGAAAGAAACGATTGTTGAATGAAAAGTGGGGGTCCAGTTTAGAATGGCTGGTTTATGATGATCAAGAAAATAATGTATTGCAACGATTGCAGGACGTTAAAGGTCTCTTTTGTTGGGACAGTGGAAACAATAAAGCAGCATGAAGTTTCCGGTGGCCATGTCAAAAGCATTGCAGCTCACACAAACACTTCAACCATTTCTTCTCGGCCCGGACCTGCTATAGACCTGTCCTAGGAGGGACATCTGATGGACAAGCGAGTGCTGCAAGCTAGACTAGTATGCAGTTGTAAATTAAATGTGACTAAAACTAATTACATTTTAGTCTAGTTTTTGTCGACGAAAACTAGACTAAAACTAAGAAGGATTAAAATGACTAAATATGACTAAAACTAATATGCATTTTTCGTCTAAAGACTAAGACTAAATAAAAAATAGCTGCCAAAATTAACACTGCTTTGTATTTTCACTTCGCTCTTCGTCATTTTGAATCTCTTAGTAGTTGTTTTTTGGGGGGCAGAGGGGTTCTGATCCTTAGCAACGTATCTCTATGTTTCTGCTTCCCATGGCAGTTTGATGAAAATGAACATCTCAAGACCTTTTTTGCTATTGATTATTGATTTAAAGGATATCCAGTATTTGCTGACTCACCTGTAAGGTGCAGTTCATCATTCGGACAATGTAGTCAAACTGTTGATCATCCAGCACAGCTCGGTTCTGCAGGACGTGCTGATTGAGCTCCTGGGTCAAACACACCCGGGCTGCCCGACCCTTCAACGCCCGCAGCACAGCTGGCATTAACTAGACAGAGGACAAGCATTATAATCAATGTGAGAAATTCATACCGTAAGGAGATCTTATACCAGAATACCGTGCAGCCCTACAATGAATCACACACAATAGCTTCACAACACTACAACCAACAGGAGGGCATCGAGTTCACAAGGCTACCTTACCTTCCTCAGGGAAAATACAACTAAAGGCTCAGTAGCCAAATTAACTGGTTTGTTCGGTGTGCAGCTTGTGAAAAGAGCACTGTATTCCACAGAACCCTCTTAAACCGCCCAGTCATGCGAAGTGAATCACTTGTACCTTCTTGGCCTCCAGCATCTTGTTCTCGAAGATGTATGTGATGCAGTTCCTGACCACCTCCAGCCTGCGGGCGCTGTTGGCCATCACGTTGCCGTTCCTGTCCACAGTGTCTCCTGTGGAGACAGGGGAGAAGCGGTCAGACCCTCATTCATCACTGCAGCACTGAGCTCAACCACACACTGTCGGCAGTGAAAAGTCCACAGAGGAGGTTGGAGGTGGAAGTGGAAACTGTCTCACCAAACACCAGCTGCTGTGCAAGTTCTAAGCACCTTTGTAACAACTTTCAAATGAATCGAACCGTTTTAACTGGAATTGAACTACAGATTCAGACATAACAAAGAATCCCTCTCATTCTGCAACCCGGCTCACCCAACGGAGGCCCAGACGGCACCATGCTCTTAAGCTCCGCCTTAACCACAGGAGGCGCTGTCTTGAGTTTGGCGGCGGCGTGGTCGATGAAGAGCTCCACCGTCACCTCGTCCAGCATGGGGAACGGCGTCTGACTCTGTGCACTGTTCTGGCTGTTTTCCGACGGTCGTTGCACTTTGTGCATCGCAACGACGGGGTAAGGATTCTCCTAGAGGGAGGGAGAGAACGAGGGAGAGAACGAGGATGTGAGATAAGGAAAGCAAAGACGCAACGTAGAGGAGGACATATCTCATATCATTGGTCTTTGGAGATGTAGGAGTCAACAATATGCATTGCCTGAATGCACGAGGCAAGTACAATGACTTGTCAGGCCAGTAAATCCAACCAGTGGAAAAAAAAATAAAAGGCATTTACACATGAGGGAAATTACAGAGTGAACCGTCATCCTTTCTTTAACTTAGCTTATTGTTGTTATTTAATAACCTAAAAGGGACAGGTAAGAAAGGAACATCCCCATTGAACCAGGCAGTGACAGAAAGAAAGAAACTGGGCCAGAGAAGAGTGAGCAGCAGAATAAGGCTAAGTGAAGGGTATTCATTGAGAACATACATTTTTGAAGAGCTGCTCGGCCAGCTCCTTGACGTGGTTCATGACTTTGTGCGGACAGGTCTCCTCTTGTCGTATCCGCTCAACGTGATTGGCCACCAGCTGTGGAAACGCCACAAAGAAGTTTCACATCCATGTGGTGTTGGTTTCAACCGCCCCCAGTCACACAGGGGGGGAAGCTGTGCTCACTCACGTCATCAAACAGGTCGGCGGCTCTGTAGGGAGGCCCTCGCTCCGACACGAAGCCTGCGAACGCCATGCCATCCAACACCTTCATCAGGAAGTCGTCCTCCGTCAGCGACCTCTGACCCAGGAAGGCCGCCTGCGGGAACACACGACACACTAAGCTGATGGCGACCTCTCTCTTCAGAGCACACAGGTGATTGGCTGGAGGGGATATTCGCATGCAGTATTCTTTACAGACCTTATGGAAGCGGATCACCGGTTCTGGGTGAATGCGGATGATGTGTAAACACCAGCGGTAGCCCTGGAAGAGCCGAGCGAACAGCCACAGGAAGACTCCCCGGATCTCCTTGTCCTGGAACACACAGTCAGGTTTAAGTACGCACACACAGAAAAACAAAGGAATAATGGAATCAACAACTGAACTAGCCACAGGGTCTGAAAGACTTTTGAATGACCAGAATCCTGGACATGCCGATTTAATAGAGTTACATTTTTAACATCCTTTCAATGCCCCAAGAGTAAAATAAAAAAAATGTAGGATCTAGTCTGCTGGTCAGACATTAGGCCTCAGAGCAGCAAACTAGATTTAGGACCAAATCTGATAACAGTTTGGGTTGAGGGTGTACAACAGTTCACTGTGGGGGTGACCGAGATTGCACTAATTCATCATGCGGTCTGTTAAAACTTTTTCCATTTAGTTAATTCCTTACCATAACTATTGTATGGAAACTTGAATGTTTCATAAAATCTAAATATAATTATTTTTTGAGAACGAAGCTACTGGGAGCAGATTGGGTTCCTTACCTGGATCTTAAGCGCGGAGGGTTGTGTTGAGAGCGGGGGGAAGGCGTGATCAGCGACTTCCAGCTCCGGATCCAAAACCTACACGACAAACACACAGCCCCCATCAGTCACTATGCCCCCTGCATCGCAACTGTAGCCTGCTGCCTCAGAAACGAGCAAGACCAGCAGAAGCCTCGCAGGTATGTTCGAGGACAGGATCACACCACTAGGAGTTCAACATAAAGAAAAGAGTGTGTGGTGGTAATCCACTGAATGTGCGTTTCCTGTTAACTGCACAGTTTGGATCGGTCACCAATGAACACATGGCAATATGGCCAGATAAAAGGCTCCGGGAATAATACTGGTTAGCTGTTATTTGTGGTTTTAAACGCCTTTTAATAGAGTGATTTTCTTAAGACATAATATTTGTGGAGAGGTGTACTAACATTAAGGCCTAAATCCTTTGGAGAAGGCCACTAGCAGCAACAAACCCAGAGTGCTACCTTGGACACAGCCTTTGGTTTGAGGCCGTAATGTGAAAAGCTAATCAGCTAAGTGGAAGGAGAGCACAGCAGCTAAGCTCCGAGTCACGGTTGCTGCCCAACAATCTCCAGCATCGTGGCTCCGATGACCTTCTGCCGGACCTCCTTCTACACACTAAAGCCCCACCACACACACCTCCCAATCTGCTCTCCAGCTTTGCAGTAGTGCTGTCTGTGTGAGCAGATTGGATGTTTTGAGGTTTGTAGGGTTAGGGTTAGTCTGTGTTGGTGTCACGCCAGCAAATTCTCCTCCACTTGTTTCCGGCTTTCATTCCCTGCATGCAGAGCAAGGACCACAACACACAAGAGTCTCTGGGTCAGAGGCCGTGAAGCACACAAGAGCAGTCGGTAACACCAAAACACGAGGGACGGGCGAGGTTGTAGGAACATGAGGTTTCACAATAAAATCCTTATTTTTTTAGCGGAATTGGGTTTTGGGCCAAGTCATCTGAGGCATTCAGCAGAGGCCTGGTCAGTATGTCCAGGTTCAGTGTGTTGCTTCAAGACACTTTGACACACACACACACACACACACACACACACACACACACACACACACACACACACACACACACACACACACCGGATAGAATAAGCTGCCATTGGGATTGTAAACAATATTTGTAATGGCATGGTAGTTGTACAACTGCTGTTACCAATCCTTAAGGGTATTCTATTCTGCACCTGAGCAACATCACAAGTGTGAATCCAACCACTGGGATGACATAATCATGACTTAAAAAACATTTATAAAAACCTTATAGGATCCACAGAGGACAGCAGAAGAGACACATTGCAAGATAATAGACAGTATATCAATTTAGAAAGGATATTATTCAGATAAAAGAAGCTCATCCTAAGCTTGAGCGGTCAGATCGTGTGTCTGTTTGTTAGAGGATAAGAACGCCCTCTCTGCGTTGTCTAAGCAAAAAATGTCCAAAACAGTTAGTTTTTCATGTTCTTAATCCAGATGAAAGACAACGGACGAATGCCTCGATTTCTTTTTCAGGAGTAGGTTTACACCACATTACATAACAATTACACACTGGGGTTTTAATGTGGACCAAAAGACAAAGCTTATTAACTTCTCTCTGCATCTCTAAAAAAGATAGAGCGAGAGAGAGAGACCATCATCGGTTTCTATTTTGTTAGTGTAACAAAAACAGGACGATGCATTTCCTACAACACAAAACCCTTTAAAAAAGGAGAGGGTCCGTGGGAAGAGCCCGTTGGATATCCCAATCTCGAGTCTCCTCACTGCATCCAAACAGACGCTGGTGTTGAGACAAAGCCCTGGATGCCAGCTCCAGTCTCCCAAATAAACACAGCACACCCTTCACCTCTGTGACCACACGTCTCCAAATGAAACAGCAGAGGGAAGATGCAGCCCTTCTTTTACCAGAAACAGTCTGAGGAACCCGTTTCCCTATCAGTTTACAGCTTTGGGAGGGAGGGGAACACCTTTCTGATGCGCACTCTCTGTCCGCTGGTGGGAGTATGCTCACCTGTGTGTACGTGTGCACACGTGTGCACATTGGGTCGGAAGTCCCCCCCCCCCCCATGTAATGGTAGGGGAAACACTAAATTCATAAAGTGAATCATCAGGTTTTAAGGGTGCAAACAAAGGCTCCAATCCAGGACCGGACGTCTAGTAGCTTAAAGCCTTTAATCATTAATCATGCGTTACAATTTGGACTTTTTGTGTTTGTTTTTTCATGTACGAAAAGAAAAAGACCGTGCCACAAAACCTTTTTACAAATTAAAAAATTAAAATAAAATCAATCTATGACAATGTTTATTGAAGCCAGGCATACAGGGTCTAATTTGAGAGAACTATCAGCTTTGCACAACTAGGCCACTGTCTGAAAAAGTGAGAGCAGCAAAGCTGCTCAACCAGCATGTTAGCGCCATGTTAGCAGCATGTTAGCGCATGTTAGCGCATGTTAGCAACACGCCTATTGGCACGACAGACTTCTTTGGTCTGGAATTAACTATCTCTATTGGATGTTATGCAGCATTTATCGGAAGCAGAGCTACCCAGAGCTGTGGACTTGTTTGATGGTAATCTCACCCTGTGCATATCAAAGCAGTAAAATAATTATACGTGAAAATGCTGAGGGGAGTGAATGATTTTTATGAGCTGTAAAATGGAGTAAAACAAACAGTCTCCCCATCAGTAGTTTGTTCCTCAGACGTTTACTAGTCTACAGCTATTAAAATGTATCTGAGACATTACATCACACTTGACCAAGATAACCAAGCGGAACAAAAGGATGGCGTTTACTCACTATTCCGGACTCTGTTATTAGACGTGACTCATGCAATCAGAGCAATCTACAGTTCATCCAGTAAGTCGATAATAAACAGGAGATTTCCAACAGCAGCTCTATTGTGAATCTCATACTTCGCATGAGATCGCAGGTTTACTGCTCAAGGCTCCCACATGCGTTTTGACACGTGCACACAGTCAACAAAAGCAACCAAAGGGAAGTAGGAAATAAATCTGAATCTAAATAAGATAAGAGGTCGGAATAAGATAATGAAGAAACTGGGAATTCATTTGTTTACACACTAAAGAGGGAAACAAAGCCTTTCTCAGAATGCGGTGGCACTAGAAGCTACATGTTAGATATTAAGATGGATAGATAAGATAGATAGATACTTTATTGACTGGCTAACTGGCATTATTTACAATAGAGCTGCTGCTGAGAATCTCTTCTTTTTATTTTTACTGTGCTCGATAAGAAGCCAATGGTGCACGAGGAGTCTAAAACACATGCTTTTGAAAGTGACTCCTAATGAATTTAAATTATTAATTTATATATATATATATATAGAAATCGATATTTATCTAAGTATGTATGTATATTATATGAGAGAGAAAAGAGATTTCAGTTTTGCAAAGAATTCTAAAAACATATTTTCACTTTGCCCTTGTCGGCCCTTATAGTGTATGTTGATAAAATAATATTTAAATCGGCAACAAAAGAAAATGCAGGGAGTCTGACTCCTGAAGTCCCTATAAACGTGTTACATGTGACATTTTCAGGGAGGGGGCTTCAGCTCTTACCATGGAGAGCAGGGTCTGGGTCTGCTGGAGGAGCGGCTCGGGCAGCAGGGAGATGTGGACGCATTCGGGGATGGTCACGGTGCCGCCGTCCAGGTCGGCGATGATCACATCCAGCTGGGAACACATCAGACACGCGTTTCATTTCCCAGACAGCACGACGACACACAGACACAGTCGCCTCTGTTAGCAGACGCTCATTACAGGACGCAACAAACACGGCCCAACGCTTGACCTTTGACCGCTCATCTGTTGATAGCAGGCATGAAACTACTGTACAAGACACTGCATCTTGTTGTGATTGGAGACACCGGCTCTATTGGGGGGGAAATCTCTACCGGGAGGGTTCACTACACCTTCATCAAGCTTCAATAAAGACAACAACAAAGGGGATTCTCTGATTATCAGATCCAGACGGTAATTATCCTACGGTATATTTTTGGATAATTTATCTTGACACAGACTGTAAAGAGTTTATTTAGCTTAGAACAGGATGAAGCGCTGCTTAATGGGTCAGTGAGCGTTTTCACAACGTTTTCTTCATCAAATAGAATGTGTGTAAGATTAGGTTTAAGTGAAGTTAATTGGGCTAGGACTAATTGAGCTCCTGCTCAATACAGCTATCTTATTTCCAAATTTTAGATATTAGTTGAAATACAGAAAGGTCTACTCCCAACCACTACCCCTCACCCCGTGGGCCGGTCCGCCCCCACAAGATTGTAAACCTAGGAGAAACACTGGATTGTATTTAATAGATGATGTAGCCATCAGGAAAATCTTCCAAATTGAATATTATACTAAGTACTAGGTGCTGTTGTTTGGGTAGTGGAAACCCACCAGCTCTTGTGTCTCCGAGCGGAAGAAGGAATTGACACCGATGATGAAGGGGGTGGGGGTGCTCAAGACCTCCAGCAGTTTCCCCGGCAGGATGGGAACGTAGGTAAAGCTGAGAGGGACACAAACAGGAATGACATTCAGCACATCTGGCACATGTGTGTCTTGAGGCTAGGAGCCCCCAGATATACACCCAAAGGCAGCGGGGAGGGACAGCGGAGGGGGTCCCACCTGTATTTGAGGGGGAACATGATGGCCAGCAGTCCCCGGCAGGCGTCGGTCAGTCTCTGGTAGCTGCTGGACAGGAACAGGATCTTGTGTTCCGTCAGGGCGGCGCAGAACAGACACAACACGTTGACTATGCCTGGGGGAGGAGGGGGTGCGGACAAGGAGGCAAACCAAAGTCATGCTTACATGTTGGACCAGCAGAGTCTGAAAAGAGTCTGAAACAACAGTTTTGAGAATTTACGTCCCAGATTACTGATTGGGTGAGTGACAGCCTTTCTACGTAGTTCTAAAAATGGATTAACATCATAAATAATGCATCTGATTATTTCTATTTTGTCCATTTGTTTTCAGTCAGGGAAGTCTATAGGGCTGTAGACCCGTCTATCTTCCCTAAATAGAAGATTTTTTCGGGTAGAACTCTCCAGCTATAGAACGACAAAACTTTATTAGTTATATTCACCAAGCAAACACATGAAAACACACTACTGGAATGAACTATATACAGAGACGTAACCGTACCAAGCTGTCTGAAGAGCTGTGCCACGGTGCTGCCGCTGACAGGAAGTGCGTCATCGATGGGAGTCTGGATGACTTGCCGGTCGCCAGCGCCTAATGTTATGGTTCTCTATAGATTAAGAGAGTGAAAAGAGGGTTGAAAAGAACAAAGAATGCCTGCCGTTCCACAGAAACATTGGGTTTTAATCACAGGGCGTGTCGGATGAGCAGCGTGGGTCAGCGAGGGAGAGGAGGTCCCCACAGAGGCTTAGCAGGTACATCACAAGTAAAATGCAAGCCACTCAAGCTAATGGAGCCGGGAATGGAGCCGTGCAGGGCTCCATGCCAACGGCCGCACCGCAGAAAGAACACCAACGTGTCAAATGAGCCTTTTGTGGGTGAGAGAAATCCAAGCGGCGTGTCATGCGCAGGCCATTTTCCACGGCAGCATTAGGGAAGCACAAGCGGGAAGGAGGCTGATCAGGATGATTCGTTTACGACCGTGGGATAAAATGAGCAGTTCCAACTTTCAGCCTGCTGGACACACTCATCTGGTCTAGATGGCGTTCTAAAACAGAGCTTTCTTTACACGGCTCATCGCAGGGACGAAAGTCTGTCTCTCTGATTCGCACTAAACTCTGTGTCTAACAACCACATCCTCCTTTACACACAGATTTGGTGGGGCTGGATGTCTACTTAGCGCCAGACAAAGCCAATAAATATTGACTTGTGTGTGGTTTGGATAAGTAGCATTTCCGGGAGTGGAATGAGGATGATTTAGACGGCGGAAATATAAATCGATCCAGTACGAGCACAATACGCACAATAATACAGGACAGCTAGGCGTCACAAGACAAGATGAGGACATCTGAGGAGAGATCACGTAGCCACCGGACCTCTGATGTGGACCAAACATTTGAGACTCTTTGAAATGAATACAAATCAAATTTCAGGTTGTGCTTCTTATCAGCAGACCAATAGAATTACATGAAATCCTTCAGGGTTTACAGACCCGTTGGATACATCGTCTGTTTCTGGGAAGAAAAGAAAAGCTTCACCTGATGTGGCTCAAATGAACCTGGTCGCATTGTCTCGCTCTGCACAGCTGCAATAGCAGCAGCATTCACAGGTGAGCACTTAGCAACAATAACTAACTGAGTTAATGAGAGGCCGATGTGTTGTTCAACATAACGCTGATGGAGCACCTCCATCACAGTTCTAAATGACTCAAAACAGCTTCAGCTTGCTTTCCTTTGTTAGTAAGCTGCACTGTCTGAAGCTCGCTGGAGTTGTTAACCAACCGAAGGCCACTTCAGTTTCTTACTTCAGTTTCAGGGACAGATTGATCAGTTGTTAGTCACACATTGAGCGTGTATGAAAGACTTTAAATTGGGTCTCCTGCTGCAAGGTGAAAGGTGTGCATGGATCGGCTGAGGCGAATAGGTATGGGAGGGGCACAGGAGGGCACAAAAGCCCAGAGCTGATTGGAGCTGGGACAGAGAGGGGGAGACGGGCCGGCGTACCAAACTGGCTGCTTTCTCCTGCTGGCCCGGCTACACAAGCAGACACACACACACACACACACACCAGAAGACGACAAAGGTTAGAAACAAGGAGTGAGGACAAAGGATGCCCAAACTGTACAACAACATGACAGTGATGTCAGGAAGCTGCAAAGACAACGTCATGAACATCGTGAACTCCAAGATGACGCTGTTTAAAAAAATAAAAGGTGCGACTGTAACATGAAACAGGCATACAAAACAAAGCATAGCACATCACTTAGCATCACAATAACAGATGAAGCATCATGCCATTCTGCCAATAACTCAGAATAAAGTACCTGTCATTTACAGCAGTCAAACTAATTGAGAGGTATGCAGAGATGTTCCTTTTACTAGAACAGCTCATTGTTGGTCTCTCGAACATACACACATTGGTGAGTAGTCCAGATCCGTTGCAGCTGGATTGTATGTCCACTTTATGTCAAGTGACGACCTTCAGGTGACGCTGCAGTAAGAGATTTTCTATTTATGCTAGATCTCTGTGAGAATGTAAATGTAGTACATATGGTGCAGTACACATGGAATTGCATAGTATTATTTAGATTTGTGCCAGGCGGGAGTATCTTAAAAAACTGCATTCTCTCCAATGTCCACCAGGGACTTAGTAAACATTGTAAACATGAGTTCATGGCCTCAATCTCTACTTTCAAGTCTTCTTCAAACTACATGATGTTCATTATAGAGAGACGGGGCGACACTCTGATTGACAAGATCTATATGCCGTCTCTTTACATACTCCTCCAAATATGGGGGCTTTGAGTTCTTCGGATAGTCAGACTATGCTGGAAACACCGTGATGCATCTTTCACACTGCAATGATCGAAGGGGAAGGGGTTAAACTGAAGTATTAAAGGCTACATGACGTGTGTTCTGGTCATGTGACAGAAAGTTTCAACAACCTCAGGCGAAACAAATTGTGGAACTCTCAGTTTGACGTGTTTGAAGCTCTGCTGTCGCTCAGATCGCTTGGCAGCGTGACAGACAGTGTCCGGAAACCGGGAATGGAATTCCCTCTGAACTGTAACAGCTCCATCGCTAATGGGTTCGAAGAAGAGCCCATCACTTCCTTTCATTGGGGAAAACGGACACTGCCACACGCAGTGTTCAGAGGTCAGGGTCAGATGTTGCGCAGATTGTGGTGAAAAGTTGCAGCAGCAGTCGTGGTTTGATCTATCTGTAGTAAGGACGGTGTTCCTGACCCCGAGGCCGCCCTGCTGCTGTACCGTCTCCATTTCTCACAACAAGCCATCAGCCTGAAGTTCATCTCAAATTTGGGTTTGTGTAAACCGTTTACATAAACGCCCTGTTGGTCAGAAAACTGCAGGGAAACGTTTACTGTTTATTTTAATAAGACCAATGTGTAATTGTGGCAAGGGGCAGCATATTCATTCAGTGAAAGCCAGCCCAATTACTAGTGTCCTCCTCCTTAGTTAGTGCTGCTAGGCCGGTTTAGCGTTCCGTCCTGGAACAGACCGCATGCAGCTTTATAAAGATGCGTTGTATTATAGCAGAAAACAGGCTTTAAGAATGAGAACTAACTGAAGTGTGTATTTAAGGGGACCGCAACTTCTGCAACAAAAATCTAAAAACAAAGCTAGTTGGCCTTGGAAGAAATACTGAGTTACTACTCTAGGTGAGGAGCTGCATGCTTATATTTATAGTTTATGAACACACCCTTGACAGACTGGTCAGTCCTACTAAGCGTTGCCGAGCTCTGATTGGACCAACGCCTTTTGGGAAAAGATCAAAGATCTTATAATAGTTTCCAAAATGTTGCAGGATTCTTCCATTTAACTAAAACTTTTTGCATCCTGGTGTTGTTTGAGCATTATTTTTAATCGGTTTAGCGCGATTAAAACACAGCAAAGTTGTTACCGCCGTAAACCAGATTAATGATGGAAAGAAGCGTTGCTGGCCGGTTTCCGCTTGTGAGCAGAGGATCGCATGTCTACTACTGGCTAACTCAACTGGGCGGCCGATGGCAGAACAGGAAGTCTCATCACAACATTAACAAAATAGGCACACATATTACAGGCTGAACAACTCTGATGCTGACCGACTTCATGAACATACAAGTCCCACGCAGGCCTTGTAGAAGGCTAGAGGATTATTTAATGCCAGGAATCATTCTGCTGTGTACATTTGGGAGAGTCTCTCTATGTAATGACAGACATTTAGCCGCTCACACAGTTCTAGAGATGTGTGTATGTCACACTTTTCTAAGTGGAATCCCCTCCTCTTGAGCCGGAGGAACAGGACAGTTTGTGCTCCAATGGAGTGACGGAGTACAAACCTGCATGTCTTTGAGTGTGTGTGTGTGTGTGTGTGTGTGTGTGTGTGTGTGTGTGTGCACATATATGTGTGCCTGTTTGTAGGGGTAAAACTGCCTGCGCACCCATGAGTGTTATAATATATGCGTGTGTATTTGTGTGTGTGCGTTACTGATTAGATTATTGCTTTAAGAATTAAAAAAAGGCAACCTGCACAGCAACATGTGTGTATTAGAAAGTGAATCAATTAGAAAATAATCAGTGTAGTGAAATGGCTGCAACTAATCAGGCTTATGTCAAACAGGAGAGATGATCAAAAAAGCAGAAATAATTTTCTTGTGGAAATTTGATCACAAAACAGAAAACAAGCAGAAGAGCCATCAATCACGCAATGATTTGAAATTATGACGAGAAAGCAACACAAAAGAAACCGGCTGCGCTCGTTTGATCCGCAGAATCAATACCAGAGATTGGCTTGTTGATTGGCGGACGGAGTGTTACCTGGAGAGCGGCCAGCAGCCAATCACAGGCCCCGTCATGAGGAACCTGGTCTAAACTACAAACTGGCGACTCATCCGTCTGTAACACAGAGGAACCAGTGTATAGGCTGCGTACGAACAGCACACTTCGGTTATGACCTGGGGAGGCCACAGGTTTAACCGATGAGCATTAATCATGAGCAACAATACGTGCAATGGAAAAGATTGATAAAACGCATAACATTTTTCCAAAACAAAAGTCAGCTTAGGAAAATATAGGAAAAAATAGGAAAATAGGAAGCTGTTCATTGGCCAGCGATGTTGTTTCCTTTTCTTTAGTTCTTTACTTCCCAATACCAATCCAATACCAGTGTGTTTACCACTATGAATTGTTTATAAATGTTTAGTCCCTTGAATAACTCAATTACTATGTTGGTCAAATTACTGCCCCCCTGTAGATGTGATGGATATTATTGGTTCACGGCTCGTAAAACGAACAAATCCATACAGAAAATAAATGCCACAGGACATATTCCGATGTAAAATATCGACAGCTAATTGATTAGCTCTGGCTAAAGGAACACACCCGGCTAGCACACTAATACTAGAAATGTGCAGAACTCCACAGAACTGAGAGAGAAACAAGATGGCTCAACCCTTCGTCATCTAGGCACAGCAGCACTTGTTTTTTAACATAAAGTTACGTTAAACATTAATTTAACGTAGTTGCGGAGGCGTTTGCGATCTTGCTTCGTTCTACCTCTGTTGATTGTTTGACATGTTAGTTAGCTTTGTTAGCTTTTTAGTACGTAGTTTATTCATGATTGGTATCTGCTATGTCAGACATGTCCGTTGTGTTTATCTGCTGAATCACTATGTCTGTTAAGTGCCCCTAAATGACTGTATCCTGAACTTTACAAAACGCCGTGCGATTCAGCGGACCAGGAGACCTGCTGTGAAACCAGCTCTGTGGAGAAGATCAGCGCCATTTTCACTTCTGCATGTGCACATTCATTGTCTGCATACAGAAACAAAGAGTCCAAGCACAGCTAGGGCCTTTCTTGCTGTATCAAGCAAACACGAATGGACGTTTAGTGCCAGCAGAGGCCCGTGCTGATGGAGATGCTGCGCTAACTGCTGCGCCAACAGACTGCACTGCTGAGCGAGGCATGTGGAAACATACAGGGTGCAGACTATGGAGCAGCAGTAACACAGAAGAAGGAATGAGACTGAGGAGCGGTCCTCAATCAGCATTGAGCTTTGTCCAACAGTCAGTGTCTCTGTGTGTGTGTGTGTGTGTGTGTGTGTGTGTGTGTGTGTGTGTGTGTGTGTGTGTGTGTGTGTGTGTGTGTGTGTGTGTGTTTGAGAGAGACAAGGGCAGGAGTGGTTAGCAGTTACCTGAGAGCCTCCAGCGATGGGGATGACGCAAGTGAGGAGATTTCCAACCACCGTTTCCATGGGGACAGTAAGGCCATCTACATGGACGGTGTAGATCAGACCCAAACAGTTCTGTTCAATCAGGGGGGGAGGGCACAAGGGTCAATAAAAGCATGCCACACGGGGAGAAGGCCCTGATATTGACTGTATTATATTCAGTGATGGGCTATAAGGCTGTAGAAGTTGTCAATAGTAAAAAAGTATCATGCTGTTTCTATTAAATTTGAACTAAAATGAACAGAATGAACATTTTTACATCTAACTCGGTCAACTAAGAGTTAAAGGAAACAAAGCCGGTCTTAGTTGGGTCTAAGAGATAGACTTCAATACAGCAGGTGTACACTTGGGTTTTTCTGATTAATAAGAACAAAATATGGAGGATTAGGAGGTTTGTTTTGTAATAAGAAAAAGAAGAGAAATAAATTGAATGAGAGAGCGTGTGGAACGTGCTTGCACACACACACACACACACACACACACACACACACACACACCGCCTATCCCTAATGCCTACTGACAATAAACTACCACTATAGATGCACAAATGAGTGTCATACCCTGAAGACCTCCGTGTGGTCCAGTCGGGACACCAGCACCAGGCTCTTGGGGGCAAAGACCTGAGCTGGTTGGACGACAGTGAGCTCATCATCGGCCTCGTCCACCTCACCGGCCTCCGCCTTCTTTAGCTGGACGAAGAAAGCATCAACGTGAAGCCACTCACATCAGCTTAACAATACACCTTTTTTTGCATCTTTGCATACCAAACGGCGTTGATCCAAATCAGTGCGTCTCACCTGTGGGTTGTCCAGGCCCTCCCAGAAGGTAAAGCAGGCACAGTAGTGACGGTCAGAGTTGATGTCAGTCAGAACCGCTACAAAGAAGGAAGCAGGTTGCCGCTCGGGAACCAGCTGCCAACCGCTGGGCTGACAGAACTACAGTGGAGGAGGAGGAGCCGTTTAACGGGGTGAGGAGGGGATGGAGGTTATGGGACCTCCTTGAGCACTAAAGTGTGAACGTGGCTGTAACGCCTTGAAACGGATGTGGTGACATTGGAGGAAAGAGTAGTGGGTCATTAAAACCAGTATCCGTCCTCACCACGCATATCCATAAAATGCAACCTGGCTGGTGTTTGTTCCATCAAATCATGTTGGATATTCAACCAGATGAAATAGCGGCCTTAGATCACCTTGTACCAAGTGATCCATACCGCTGGGGTTAAGTGAGTCCATGAAATATCTACTTACTCGTTGGTGTACTGAACATGTTTTTTTTTTAATTCAGCAGTAACCTGATATAGATCCAAAAACACAAGAACCCATTTGAACCTGGAATAGCTGCAGTTAGTGTCTTAATCCAAGGGAATGGAACCTGTAACCCCCACAGGGTTAAGTGCCTTGCTCTACCCACTGAGGCCCACTGCAGCTCGTCTACATGAGTTGACTCACCAGCTCTACGCCTTGTGGGAAAGGACTGTCCTCCCAGTCTTTCTCAGGAAACCGCTGGAGAATGCGACCTTGACCTTCACCCTCTGCTGCAGGGAGAGACACAGAGAGGGACAAATGCAGAGGTCACTCCGTGCTATTTACATCCTTTGTTGTCTGTTTGCTTCTTTAAAGAGACTCCTTAGATGTTTGATTTGTTTCAATAGAGGACTTTTGGGAATGAATGTTGAAATAGAAATAAACTATGTTGAAACGCAACATGTTTTGTTCCAACATGCCACAGGGATTGGAAGTGTGATAGCTTCACCATGAGGAGAGGACTGTGGAGGCGATGAGTGCAGAAGCTGGACACAGCTGTCAGTTGCTAAAGTGCTTCTATTTCTACGCATTTACTACAAATTCATCTAGGACCTATGAATGGACGTTTGGAAAAATCAGGTCAGCTGTATCGTCCAGTTGAAATTTTGGTCGTCGCCATGTTGGACTGCAGAGTGGAACAGGTGTAGAACATCATGCTGTATTGAAAACGATTGAGACCATAAACTCATGTTTACAATATTGACTCATAAAATCAGAATTCGGTTTGCAACCTGAAGAATCCTGATGGAGAGAATGCGGGTTTAAGGCACTTCCCACTTCTCTTCTTAGACCTGGATGTTGCCGCCTGGTAAGTTCAGATGAAGTCCAAGAAATATTTACTGGTTACAGTTGTTTTCATGTCTATTTGTTCTCCTACATTAGTCAATATCTGTAAACATTAGTGTAATGTGTTGTGATTTCTTCTTGCTGCTGGTTAATGAGGCCATTTCCACTGTTGGCGAGGGCCTCGCTCATCACAGTGGTACAATGACACAACAAAGGCCCTCTTATGTAACCACCACAAGCCTGTCTTTCAGCTTGGCTCCATCTGAAGCCCTGCAGGCCGGTTAATGGCAGCATTCATCCGCACAGAGAATGCACTTATCCTCCCGATACAAAGGGAGCTGAATCAAGCATACAACTGTACAAGACTAAATATTATCCCATGCTGATAAAAAAGGAGACATCTTACAAGCATCTACAGCCGTCCATGGCAGTTTCCTGCCTCAGAAAAAATAACAAGAGCCTTTCTACCAAGGAAACTAAACAGAAGCTCAAACTTACGGAGACAATACACAAACAGAAAGTAGGCCAGCTACCAAAACACACAGGGATTTACTTGAGTCATCCAGGGATACGTGGACGCCTGTGTGAGCGGCGCTTTGGGTGCAAGTCATCAAAGATATGATGTTTGGAGCTTATTGTCAGCCTTCTTTGAGCCTGACCTTTACTGGTCAGCCATCAACAAAAATGTACTTAAATCAGACCGGGATACAGTTGTGTATCGAGCTGGTATTGGTTAGCGGAACCTCACTGTTCAGGTTCAGATCATCAATAGAACTTTTAGAGACCCCTAAACCGGTCTTTCTACTGCTGATACTCTGCAGTGCGCAAATATGGCCACGTATTGCTAATCATCCATGATCCATATTACATTACATTACATTACATGTCATTTAGCTGACGCTTTTATCCAAAGCGACGTACAATAAGTGCATTCAACCATAGGGTACAAACTCAGGAGAACAAGAAACAAGAAAGTGCAATTTCCTCAAATAAGCCAATTTACAATTTGCTATAGATGAGTGACGTTACAAGTACAATTTAAGTGCTACAATTTGTTAGTCTTTAGTCGAGGTAGAGTCTGAAGAGGTGTGTCTTTAGTTTGCGGCGGAAGATGTGAAGGCTCTCTGCGGTCCTGGTGTCTTCAGAGAGCTCGTTCCACCATTTCGGCGCAAGGACAGCGAAGAGTCGAGACCTAGTCGAGTGTTTTGCTCTCAGTGAGGGAGGGACGAGTAGTTTTGCAGATGCAGAGCGGAGAGTGCGGGTTGGGATGTAGGGTTTGACCATGTCCTGGATGTAAGCTAGACCCGATCCATTCACAGCATGGTACGTGAGCACCAATGTTTTGAACTGGATGCGGGCGGCCACCGGTAGCCAGTGAAGAGAGCGGAGGAGTGGAGTAGTGTGGGAGAATTTCGGAAGGTTGAAGACCAGTCGAGCTGCTGCATTCGGAATGAGCTGCAGAGGTCAAATGGCGGTGGCAGGGAGACCTGCCAGGAGGGAGTTGCAGTAGTCCAGGCGGGAGATGACAAGAGCCTGAATCAGTACCTGCGCTGCCTTCTGAGTGAGAAGGGGACGTATTCTCCTGATGTTGTAGAGCGTGTATCTACAGGATCGCGTTGTCGCGGTGATGTTGGGAGTCAGGGAGAGTTGGCTGTCGAGTGTGACGCCGAGGTTCTTAGCGGTCAAGGTGGGCGTTAGTACGGAGTTCCCAAAGTTGACTGTCAGGTCCTGGGTAAGCGAATCTTTTCCGGGAAAGAAGTAGTTCAGTCTTGTCGGGGTTGATTTTCAGATGGTGGGCGGACATCCACTGAGAGATTGTGGAGAGATTATTGGCAGATACAGCTCTCTCTGTGGTTTGATTATTGCAGCTGTTTGACAACTGTCCAGACTATTTTTTTGTGGACACTTCATATTGATGTGTAACTGGAAACTGGGAGCCTCAGAAGCGCAGTCAATTTTCCACAGTGGCCCGGCAGTCGCACCAGAGGCAAGTACAGTGCAGCACAGAGACAGCCAGCTAGTGAGGAGGAACACACACACACACACAGAACATTCTACAAAATAGATATAGATCATTTAAATAATTCCATAGCTTTTTCCCCAAAGACTGAGCTGAACCATCATGCAGGTGCACCATTATTCATTCTATCAACCTGTGATTAGTCTGTGACATGAGGCACATACCACAACCTGGCTTGTGCACATTCCATTTTATGAATTATACGTCAGCATAGCAGAGCTAAAGCATGCTGGGACCTGCTGTCACCCCTGACAGGATTTTTAAAGAATAAGCGTGTGTGTGTGTGTGTGTGTGTGTGTGTGTGTTGCCTGGTACGGTCCTTGTGTTGCTTTGTGTTACTATGTGTTGTCAGTGGGTGACGTGCAGTCAGGTGGGTCATAAACAAACAAAGACAGAGGGTGTGTCAAGCCGGGACAGAAACTCTTGCAGCCAATAGCAGGGCAGGGATCCTTTGACCAGGTACAGCAGGACATCCTGCGGCCGAGGTATCTATAGCAGTGGGTCTGCTACAGACAAAAGGTATGTCTTCCACACAGGAGGATCATTTTGACAGAAGGAATATCTAGAATGTAAACAAGATTCCAACGGACTTCACACAACAAGTGGTTTCATGTTAGAAAATGTTTTGCAGACCGGTCTTGCGGCGGATAAAAATAGAAAATAACTGGCCAACGCAAGGTTTACAATGGAGCGAAAACCAGAACCTCTTTTCCTCTATGATCAGACCAGCTGCTGCCGGCTCGGAGGCTAGTTAGCTATGAGCTAAACTGAAGGGCTGGAAATGATCAACACAATGACAAATCACCCTATTTGTGGCCCTGTTTTGAAAATACCCTGCTGCGATGTTATCTACATTGCTTTTCCAAGAGGAGAGATGGACAGGAGATGAGGAGTGAAGATAAGTTCCCTTAGAAGGAAAGAGAGGGGGAGGGAAGAGAAGAGAGCAGCCACCCATCAAGTACCACAAATGAGTTGTGATTTGACTTGCTATTTCCATTATGACGCAGAATGTAGATGTCTCTGTCAGTTGTTTAGAAGCACAACGGATGCATAAAGCTGCTTAAAACTGGTTTAGTGGCAGAATGAGGATCTCACATTACGCATGTTGGCTCTGTGTACAACATTACAGACTGGTCACTTTCATCTTTCATCATTCATCTTAAACCTCTGGAAGGACCGACAGCGAAGCCACACTGCAAACACAAGCGACAGACGTTCCGGCTCAACATCACTTTCACTGGATTAACATTAATAGAATATTAAAAGGAGAGAAATGAAACACGTCACGGTCACAAAAAACCTAGTGACTCTAAGTAGTGCAGTGGTAACAATTATCCCCTCAGTCCCTTTGACACAAAACACATGGGAAATAGATGACCCTTCTAGTTAGTCTTCTAACGTGCTGTGCAGAAATAGGGCAGGAATATGGGGCTTTATTCTATTTCATTATTCATGATAATGTCTGTGGGCTTCCTGGAATGTGAAATGAAGCTTGGATGTTGTAAATTAGGAACAGGGGTGGAAACACAAAGGTGGCAGAGAGACTCAACTTGTGATGACAATGTTTAGTTGCTATTTCTCATGTCTCATTATGGACAAACGACCTCTGTACTGAGGGGATTAAGTCTGACAAACGTCCACACATCCTTCAGGCTATCCAGATGTGTGCTGGACCAATCAGAATCTGACAAGGATGCCGCTCCGCACTCAAATGTCCTCAACCGTATACAAACACTGCACGGCAATCTTTCTATATTAAAACAGACAATTCCTTAAAAAAGGTGTGATAAACTGCTTTCATCATGACAAAGACGACAACGACAAGGCAGCGCCGATAGGATCTAGCAGAACAATATCAAACATGCAATATTGTTGATGAATAAACACCCAACTAAAATGTATCTTGGGAATATGTCAGTAGGTTGGATTGTCATAACGGAGGTGCGTTCTTCCTCCTCATTCACCCAGTGTTTCTCATCTCATCACAAACCTCAAGCCGACATCAGCGTTGCCGACTGATGTCGGCTATCGGCTTATTTTCAATCTTATATCTACAACTGACTGCCTTCTATTCACCAAATACAGGTTTTTGGGCCATATGTTTACAGCACAAGTTTGCCTTGTCTGTGATGAATATCTTAGAACCAAAAGAGTGACCTAGAAGCACCGGAGACGCCACAACCTACCGCATTCCCTCATGTACACAGACAGGAGAAAATGGAGGTGATCACTGTGAGCCACCGCCCTGTGTTTCCGGTTTTTGTCCGTTCCAGTGAATCGGGAGGCGTGTTAGAGCAGCTGTGTTAGTAACACAATCAGAGAGCCACAATCAGTGCGTTCAGTTCCTACAGAGCTCAGCCACCGAAGAGGTCAATGGTCAATGGCTTCCTGGTTCTTCATGCAAAGTCCAACACAATCATACAG